ATTCGCACGATGAGTCAATACAAATCCAGGAAGGTTTTCCGTGGGTTTTGTGTTTGGATTCACCGTGCACAATTCAAGATTTCGTAACATCAGTATTCCACCTCGATCGAGCTCGATTTTTTTCGCGACATCGAATGAATCATTATCTTTTCTTCGCGGCAAGATTAATTCCCGATAGGACAAGATAAATTCTCGACGATAGATACATTAAAAAAAAAATATCTAAGAAATAAAAAATATTTATTCAGTGAGTACTAATAATATATTTACTAAATCTAAGTTCTTTTGTTTAAATAGATAAAACAATTCTTTTTATGAAAAGCTGAGATTTTAAAAGAATTCTTAAATAATTAGAATAAAAAAATATTTATAAATTAAAATAATAAGTATTTATAAATTTTTAAAGAGAATTTGAAAATTTTGAAATTTGCATTCAAAAATTTGAGAATTTTTTAATAAAAATTTCAAATGAACAATTTATAAAAAAATATTAGTAGTATTTTCTTATTTGAAAAATACACTTTATATATATATATATATATATATATATATATATATATATATATATGTGTGTGTGTGTGTGTGTGTGTGTGTAATAAATATTTTTTTATTTTTTACATATTTTTTCTCTCAGTTTAGAAGTAATTTTATATGTTAATCGTCGGTGCACCATTAGAATACATTAAACAGTTTTAGTTGTAGAGTTTTTCTTTTGTTAAGCAGTTTAAACTATTTGTAAAAATTAATATTTCAAGATTTTGATTCGCTCTTTAAAGTCTTTTCAAACAAAGAGAAAATTTATTTATCTTTTCTGCTTAACGGAAGAAAATTCTTAATTCTTTGATCTCATTGATACACCGTGGGAGAAAATGACGTCAACGGATCGCATATAGGTGAGTATGAAAATAAAAATGTCGTTCATTTCGCGATCTAAGTAACCTCGGCCACGTCATGTCACGGGGATTCCCCTCGTTTATTGAAATTCAACGGAGATCTCTCACGAGTATAATATCACAAAGCAAGTAAGCGCGATTAGAAAGTCGCAACTGACGAATGTTAAGCAGCTCGTTCGCGCCGAATCATAATTACGATGACGAAGATGGAAATAACAAGCTATTATCACCAAGTGAAAATCAGACGCGTGCTCATCACATGTACGCGAATATCAGTGCATATTTCTGATCAGCAACACACACACACAAGGCCGTCTGCCGACCATCGTCGGAGAGATAATTGTTTATTATTTTCCGGATGTTCGCGAGGGAAATCGAACTCGGTGTTATTCCAATTAGTCCCACGTAATTCCCGGTCGCCGGCTCTGACGAATTTCTCATTACTTACGCACGACAATCTCGACGGTCGAATGTGCAAATAAGTGTCCAATAACATGATGTGTGCGATTTGACACGTTTACCGAGAAATCTTCTGCTATACTGGCAGTCGCTGGAAAGAATATAAAAAGTGTGACTCGAGTGCAGCCGGATGTAACGGATATGTTGGTGTTCTCGCGAAGCCGCGACTTTGACGAGCTTTGCGATTTCTGGGCGTTACCTGGATACCGCGGCCAGTCGTTAGTTCGAACGATGGCTAGAAGCCAGTCATTGAACCTGACCTTGAAGAACCGGAACGATACAGGTTTCGCAAGAGACCTCGCTTGAGGATGGAGTCTATGAGAAACAGCCTCGCCCTTGGTTAAATTGACTATCGATTGTCGCCGATCGGTCGATCGGTCGACCGAACGAACAACCGACGTTGAGCTCATCGCAATACACTTGGCGCCAGGTAAATGTAGAAAACCTCGGAGTGATCATCTCGCAGTAACTTTCAACCTGCCTTATTTACGAAATATGCTTCCCCGAAGCGCTTACAAAAACGTTTCCCCGTATCGACTATTACGAAAAACTATAACTTATGCTGTTAGGCAAGAACATCTTCGACATTTAGCCTTGGCGTTGATGTATCAAAAGTATCTATATGGAGAAAAATCGTTCTTTTTTCATTGAAATACGTTTAAGCACCTTGTTTCCATTCGTAACACGATTGAGAGAAAAGCAGCCAAAAAAGCAGATCTATTTTTCATAATATGTTAAAAAAATACTTTCATCTTTCCATTCTTCTATTTTTCTAATACTATTATTTTATTAATACTCTCTTTATATAGATAAGACAAATTCCTTGATACGCAAATAGTCTGAGTTTTTTTTGTAAGGAGGTTCTGGTTTAGATAGATAAAAAATATATTTTCACGTATTTTTTTCACAAATAAATAAATAAAAATATCAATGTAGAGATTTGACTAACTGTACAGCGAATTAAATGTATTTCGACCAACTCCGACTTGTGTTCTGCCTTCTCTTCCACATTCCTCACGTGTTATTTCATGATTTAATCTTACATGCATTTCGTATCACTTTCCTTGACCTGATATAGATTCTCACCGACAGCTACCAGGATTCACGCGCCGGAACGAAAGAGACAGAAAGAGAGAGAGAGACAGATAGAGAACTCGCCTCGAAGACCGTGAGGTGTGATTTTCGTTTCTCTCGCTCGCCCGAGTCATGCGTTCATTGGTTTTTCCCTGCGTAACGATGGATTTTTTCTGGTCACGTCTCGCATAGATACTCTAATAGCGATTATTAAATGCGATTTTTGGTCGTACGCATTTAGTGGATAACATATAATCAGCAAAAACGGATCTTATTGCAAAGTTGTCTCGATTGCATTCCATCTGCATGGCTCTGCGTGCATACTATTGTGATGTCTTCCTTTCAGGACGGATACGACTATGCGTACGTGTACGGATGAAACGTTAAAAATGCAAAGGACGTGCACTTGTACGGACGTGTATTTACGTACGTTGGTTGCGGTCACTTATGTTAATTTGTTTGCGAGAAGACGAAGAAGCGAGAGGAGAACGACAGTTCTTCTTCCGTTCAACGTGGCTCGTCTACGTGTAGCAAACGAATTTTTGCACGATTTTGCGCGTGTCGCGATCTCGGAATATTTCTCGCAACAAACCGGACTGAGCCTAATGACGATTCGTGCAAAACATACTAAAACGCACTGTTCTATACTTGAGACACATTCCGCACGTTATTTCGTGATCATAATCGTATATTAAAACATATTAACCGCGTTCATTTTCCACTTTATTCTTCTTTTATTTTTATTTAAATTCTGTATTTTATTTTATGTCTCTATTCTCATTTTAATCCCCATTCCCATTAAAATTTGATAACGACTGTGCAATGTCGCGGTAAATACATTAATCACTTTTTACCGCAGCTCTTTCCTTTAACCGCATTTATTATGCCATAAATCCACTCTGTCGTATAATTCTCACAAATGCATGATATTTTCAAAATGAAAAGTTCCGAGGAAATAAGCGCAAAAAAAAAGAGTATACATAAACGCATCTCCGTGATACATTAGTGCCTTCATTAATTTCTCCTTACGCGCGGTTAACCAGACAATTATTGCAACACTTCTGCAAAAGAATACATGAACGCTCGAGCATTATATTTTCCGTGCAATTTCAAACACCGTTCGAATTCTAACAAGATCTTCGATCATCACGATTAGTCATCACTGGTCACAATTATAAACTGTCACAGTCATCGATATAAAAAGGTGAGACGATTCAATGAAACCCGCGCACACGCAAACGCATCGTCGTTAAAATTACAAATAACGTCACCATGTCGCCACGACTGTTTGACAATCAATATTTTTCTTCTATTGAATTTATTGTAGCTTATGCAAGAGCCGGGAATAATATGCCGCGATGAGCCTTGATTTTGCCAGAAATAATGCCTCCACTTAATGTGCGAACCTCATCGGGAGAATGGTGCTTTTTTACATAAAATGCAGATAAACCCAGACGCATCCGTACATCAACGCGTTGGTTTTTATCTCGTGATAAATTTATTATTTATGCAACTTGACCATATGTATTATAAATGTGCGTATATTAAGAAAGATGTTTGGTATTCGTAACTCTAATTACAAAGAGGAATAATTATTACAAATTATGATAAGAAAGCTACTTTTTAAATTAAATTCTACTATTTCTTTTAATTAAATTCTACTATGTCAGTGACAATAACTTTATACACATGGTACAACTTCCATTTTCGTCGTGAGATAACTAAAAAATGTGGTTGAGACCAAAAACAACTATAATTTTAGTTAGAACCATTCTTTATGTCAGTGTAAAAATTTACATATGATGATATCCAGAATAATAACGACGTGAAGCAGTAGAATAACAGTTAACAATGTAGTATAGCACGAGACGTCTCATTTCAAGCGATATTTCTTTAAATAAGAAATCCTCTTCAGACAGAGCCGGAGCAAAAATGATTTGCGAAATATGCATTCAACTAGTGAGAAATCCAAGGAAAAGGTGGCTTTAAATCACTCTGTATATACATATATCGCTACAACAATATCCTTTGAACAGGTTTTTTTTCCAATTAGAGTCCCCATTCAACCGATTATTCTCTATTCTGAACAATTCGCAAAAAAAATTCGCGTCACTTTTTATGTCGGATAGCACTTACATACGAAATCCCCATCGCGAAATTAAGCAGAAATCCCGCGTAAATACTCAGATCGTCTAAGTCACTAATCATCCTCCAATCGGCGAAGAAGGATACCCCGGGACGGTAAAACGCTTCGTCGAAATGAGCGGACTTTGATGACCGAATCCACGCGTGACGGCGGAACTATTGTCATTCATTTGGAAACTGACTCTCATGTATCCCGAAGAAGCCACTCAACGTTAAAAATGCATTAGTACAATTAAGCGCGGAAATGTCCCGCTTCCAAAACACAACCCTCGACGTCGATCACGGAAGAAAATAACCGTGGGGGATCCTGAACGGAAACGCAGAGGTCGCGATGTTGACGAGCGCGATGAGAGACGGAGAGCGAGTGAGAAAGAGAAGGTCAATTATCAGCCGACGTAAAATCCACGCGTGTGTAGTATATAAGATGTTGTCTCGTCGGAGAGCTTCAGTCGCTCTTGACTCTCCGACCATCGAGACATCGGTGAGACAGGCAAAACAAAAAGACACCCTGTGTGTGCCAGAGGAATTATCGGTTTATCGTAACAAGTGAAAACACCATGAAATTGTTGGAGTGTTTGGTACCGGTGGTAGTGCTGCTGTTAATTAAGGACTCCAGCGCGAGACCTGGTGAGTTTTCGGGATCAGGTGCCCGTTTATTTTAGTCTCGAGAGTCTGTAAGACTTATGCTGCAATTTTAAGCAGAATCGTAAGTCTCGTAACTTATTCTCGTAAAATTCGTCAGAACTTATGAGTAGATTTACAAGTCTATGCAATATCATATGTACAATTACTCGTAAATATCTACGATTTCATGTAATTTACGATATTTACAAGTGATTGTACAATATATGATATTGCATAGACTTGTAAATCTACTCATAAGTTCTGACGAATTTTACGAGAACAAGTTACGAGACTTACGATTCTGCTTAGAATTGCAGCATTAATCGAGCTTTCTCGTCGAAATTTGTACATAGTGACGAAAACTGACTCGAATTAAACGACTCTGACACAGTTTTTGCACACGTGGAAGTTCCATACTATAGTTGTAATATAATAGAGATCCAGCAATCGTCGTCATAGAAATTTTTATTTATTTTTGATTTAACAGAAGAAATCACGATATTTCTGATAAAGCTAATTGAAAAATTATTTACTGCATTTAGAACAAAATACTTAAAAATTATTATTAATTTATTTATACTAATTTATTTATGAGATAAAATTTTATTTCACAAAAATAAACTTCCACATTAAAATTTTATTTCACAGAAATAAACTTCCACATAAAATTTTATTTTACATAAACTTCCACATTAAAATTTTATTTCACAGAAATAAACTTCCACATTATATTCTACAAATAAATTTTCAAGTATTTTTCTTCTCAATGTATATTTTTACTACAAGGAAAAGATGTTGATGACTTTCTAATGTAATTTTAATGCTTCCCTATCGTAATTAATAACGCTCTTTACACATACACACAAGTATGATTCGTATTTCTAAAATAGTAAATTGGAAATACTAAATTGTTACGAGCCAGGCTTATGCGATGCATAAAAATAGCCGAGATCTTCGAAGTTTGATTTGAAACTGGTCAGAATATTCATTCGATAACAGTAACATAGACGGGGAAAATAAAAGTCGCGACGGAAATATTGTTTAGATAACGTAGTTGTTAAATATTTTGAAATTCTGATTGTCACTTTGTATGTTCATGCGAAGGTATACTACGTGATATAGCTACCGGCGGTATCGGTTTGCTGGACCCTTTGGGTCTCTTGAAACCTAAGGGAGACGCGGATAGCTATGCTGCTAGTAACGCTCAATCTCTAGCCGGAGGTTTGCAAATAGGACCTATCGGTTTCGGCGGTGGCATATCCTCGTCGTCGGCCTCGTCGTCGGCGTCGGCGAACGCCGGCGGCGGCGGTTCAGCCTCGGCCTCTGCGAAGGCGGATGCTCAAGCTCAGGGATACGGCGGATACGGTGGATACGGCGGCGCCAACGCGAACGCGCAAGCCTCCGCAAACGCTAACGCGCAAGGTACATTCATGTTTGAAAGAAAAATAAAATCATACGCGGTCATTGAATAAAAAAAAAGAATTTTCATTCTTTATAAATTTTAAAAAGATAAAATTTTTATCTTAAATTTCAGAAAATAAAAATTTCATCTTGAATTCAAACAAGTAAAATTTTTATCTTTCTAAATTTTAGAAAGATAAAATTTCTTTTATTTCTTTTTAAAGAAATTTTTTTATTTTTTCAGAATTTAAAAAGATAAACATTTTATTTATTTGAATTCAAGATAAAATTTTTATTTTTTTAATTTAAAATAAAATTTGTATCTTTTTAACTTTGATAAATAAAATGTATAAATAAATGAAAAAAAGATAAAACAAATTTTATCTTTTTAAAATCTTATTTTATTTCTCTGAAAGAAATTTTATTGGTAACTGTATATATATGTAATATTATATATTTTTTTTATTTTTTAATTTTTTCTTAATATGTTTCCTTAATTTTAATTTCAATTTTTTAATTTTATAAGATTTTAACTTCTATAAGCAAAACACTTTAATTTTTTTCTCTATAAACAAAACACTTTAATTTTTTCCGATTTTCCATTATTTCGCCTCTACGACCAATAATCTTGTTATCAATCATTTTTCGTTTACTACATTCGTTCTTTTCAACAGCGTTCTCTCATTACGTCTGCTCATACATAGAATCGTTTACTCTCTCGAGCATTATCACTGGAACATTAACGGACATTAAAATTGAAACGTTAACGAACCGCTTTCAACGTAGGTTCTACATATCCTGGCGGCTATCATCATGGTAAAGGCTTATACGATGGTTATGGGCCAGGTTATGGGAGTTACGGAGGTTCTCAGTCCAGTGCAAACGCCAACGCCAATGCTAATGCGCAAGCTACCGGCAATGGCAACATCGGAGTCATTCCCATTGGTCCCTCTTATTACCCTCACTCGGTACCCATCCGACCCAAGCACAGTGGCAACGCTAACGCTAACGCTAACGCCCAAGCGAACGCAAACGCGAACGGTGGCGCGAACACTATTCCTATCCGTTATCCAGGCGCATCCTACCCCGGAGGAGGTCAAATAGAAGTCATCCCCATCACGATTGAACAACACAGACCAGTACCACCCATGTACCATCCTACCCCTCAACGACCTCACTACCAACCGATTCCCCAAGCTCCTCCTCAAGGTGACGTAATAGTTGTTGTCGAAGAAATACCCGCGCAAAGCCCTCAACGACCGCAACGTCGCCGACCGCATTACCATCACGGTAAACCGCGGCAAGAGCCCGTCGGAATCATCGTCATCGAGGAGCCGACATTTCAAGGTGATACATCACAATCGATCCAGCCTCGACTATTATCGTCAGTGTATCGCGTGCACAAGTGGATTCTAATCGGGCTGCACTCTGACTGGTGGCGGTAAAGATGACGAAAGAAACATAGAAACATCGTTTCTGCATAATCTTTTCGGGGACATACTCAGGAAGACGCACACGCGTCTTTTGATATTATTATGTCTAATCGACTGATAGTCGCTTCTTGCATATAGAGGCAAACGCCCAGTAACTCGTAACAGCACTCACACCTATTTTTGGCACTTGCTTCGATTCCATCAAAATATCAAGATGTATGGGAATTTATTTATTATTTATCAATTATTACTTATTATTGACTTATTCATCTTCTTTTAAATCCCCATTCATCTTAACGACATTCGCACAAGAGTGACAGGTAGAGTGCTAACTCCTGAACGTTCTCCCCTATCTTGTCACATATCTCACGTGTAATATTTATCGAGTGATAACTGGAATGATAACCGGGTTTATAATGCGACACTTCCAAATTCGCGTGGAGCTTCTATTTCTTTCTCTCTCTTATAACGTATAACGTATAACGTATAACGTATAACGCACGAATTTCGCGTATAAATACTCATCCCGTTTCGACGACTTTGGCACCTTGTACGTAACTTGCAATGCACCGAAACGTAGCCCTCGTTCGAAGATATGTAAATTAAAGAATGTTTTTCCTATGTTTGCAACTCTGTCGCCTCGAGAGATTCAAGTACGTGGCTTCAACGTTGTGTTTCGTAACCAGCACCCTCCAACGTGGCACATAAACCGTCCCCGTCAACAATAAACGAGGAACGACGTCAACGGATAACGCACCTATCCTCCTTGCTTTCGTCATCGTAATCAAATGGAAAAGGCACAAAAACAAGGAATCAAATGCGTTTCAGCTGAGACTGAGAGCATGAACTCTGTGACTCACGTGCACATCCCCCACTTGCTAATTCACTCAACCTTTCATGTATATGTGTCGGCATATCTCTATGTTGGATCACTCATAATGTTATCGATGTATTATCTATTAAATGAGCGTAATAATGAGAGAAAATAACTGATGATCAATATTGTTTTCAGGTGGCATTCACGGAAACTATCCCGCGCAACAAGGATCTTATGGCCATGGCGGTCGCGGCAATCCGTTCTTACCGGGTGGCGCAGGCTCAAACGCGAATGCCAACGCTAACGCCAACGCCAACGCTAACGCCAACACCAACGCTAATGCCCAAGGAGGCGCAGGAGGATATCCCCACGGTGGCAATTATCCGGTGAACCCAACTGGCCCAATCGGTGGAAACAATCCTTTCCTGAACGGCGGCGGGCCTTCTGGCGGTAACGCTAATGCTGGAGCCAACGCTAATGCTAATGCTAACGCCGGAGCCGGCGGGCAAGGACCGATAGGCGCACACAATCCGTTCTTGCAGGGCGGTGGGTCCCACGGTAACGTGGGAGCACCAGAGGTCAACATTCATAATTTGGGCGAGAACCATAAAGGTATTCCTACGACCTACCCGGGACAATTTCCGGGTTCTTCGGGATCCAACGCAAACGCTAACGCTGGCGCTGGCGCCGGTGTTGGAGGATACGGCGTACCAGTGAAAGAAAGCCCTGTACATGGAGGATACGGGGACGGAGGAGTCACGGTTCTCGGTGGCGGTTATGAGGGTTCTTCCGGAGGAGGAGTTGCCGGCCCAAACTACGGGGGTAGTTCGTCCGGCGCGAACGCTAACGCTAACGCGGGTGCGGCCGCCGGAAGCCACGGAGGTCATGGAGGACTCGGCGGAGGCTCGAACGTCGGTCATGGTATCGGAGGACCCGGTTTCGGCGGAGGTTCGACCGGCAACATTCACAATTTAGGCGAGCAACCTAAAGGTATTCCCACGACCTATCCTGGACAATACCCGGGTTCTTTTGGAGGTTCTGCGGGATCCAACGCCAACGCTAACGCTAACGCGGGAGCCGGCGGTCACGGAGGATCCGGTGTTGGCCACGGGGGATTAGGCGGCAGCGATTCTTTCGTCCACGGAGGTTCTCCTAACGTGAATTTTGGTGGCCACGGTGGCGCGAACGCCAATGCCAATGCCGACGCTCTCGCGAACGCCAACGCTGGCGGTTCCGGCGGAGTTCTTGGTGGATACATTAAAGAATCAGGCCCAGGGCTGGGACACGGTGGCCAAGACGGATACGGACCAATCGGAGGTACATTCGTATTTTTCAAAAAGAAATGGTACACCCACCCGCTTGCACTGAGAGGTTAATCATTTGATTCACCCGCAAACCTATATTCAGCGCAAATTAATACCCTGACTTTCAAGAGCCTGCACGCGGTTTTGGAGACCCACCCAAGCTAATATACTCGTCACCTCGTTGAGACCAACACGACTCATCTCCTCGATCATCATCAATCGCGTTATCGTCGTTTTTACGTAATACCTGTTGACGTTCGTCTTCATCACGTAACGTCTAATAATATGTAAATAGTTTCATACCAATCAATTGTCGGCATGAACAATGCCTTTCCCTGTAATCCCCGACACGTCATTAATCTTGCACGAGGAAAGGTGGATGCCATTTTAAACCATCATCATCGATTAATACCAAGTTAATACCGGGCCAAATAACTCACCACCACCACGTCACCCTTCAGCACCTGTACTTCAAGACTACTGAACGAGTCATCAGAAAATCGTGTCGGCATCATCGGGCTAGAAAGTGACGAAGGCTCTGCCGGCGTTTCGACCATCTCATCGACAGCATTTCACACGTGGACCACGCTTTCATATGTCTCTGTCCCGATATTCATCGTAATTGTGTTCGTGTTGACTTTCGCAGACCTGACCCCCGAAGCCGAGGCGACAGCGGCGTCCATGGCGAAAGCTGTCGCGTCCGGACTGATCATAATTAAATGATTGCCTATTCCCTGCCACAGGCTCAGACGCCAGCGCCCAAGCGTCCTCGAACGCGATCGCGTCAGGGGGTGGTGGCGGCTTATCCAAAGCCATCTCCGACGCCTCGTCTAGCGCGCACTCCAACGGTGGCTCGGCGTCGGCAAGCAGCTCCAGCAAAGCATCCGCCTCCAACCACGGATCGGGATCGGGATCGGGATCAGCGAACGCGAATGCGAACGCAAACGCACAGGCCTCGGGATTTGGATCCAAGAGCTCGGCATCGAGCCACGCGTCAGCTAACGTCGACACCAGGGACATGCTGATCTTCAGCTAATCAATAACTATTGTGATACCGAAGCCCAGCGACGAGCTTCTCCAAGGGGATTCTCCGCGGGCTGCCACGAGCGACATAATACTCCGTTTTTTGTCTTTCGGTGTTCTACGGGAGCGAGCACGATCGTCAGCACGCGGGTGTTGTTCGTCCAACATACTATCTTGCGACTTGGGCCATTCCCAACGGAGATCATCAGGTTGCTTGGAAGTGCGTGGCAGAGCGCGCTCCGGCGAGACGTTCGAATTTATAATCGCGAGTTTATAGACGCGAACGCGCTCGTGAGCATCCGAGAATAATTTATGAACAATTGGAACTCCTCCTGGAGAAGAACTCGAAGCGAAAGTGATTGTCGGGTCTCGAGAATAGGAGAGCAAACGCTCGCTCGTGTTCATACCGCGATTCACGCCAGGCTGAGCTTAGCATTTCACAACTTTCCGTGCTCGACTAGATATTTCAGACGAACGCTTTTCATTGGATGTAAGTGGGAAATATAATGCACTGACCAAATCTTGTCTGATTGAACGGCTCAATCGGTCGATGGCTGATGACACTTCTGCCACCGACCGGGGAACACTCTTATGCTCATCCGTTTTATGACGATCGGTATGATTTTAATGTTAATACGCGAATTTGTACGTTTTTTCCTCGAAGCAACGTATTGCGGCATTTAGAGTGTACTTTTAGGACACCCTAACTTAATACTCTCTTTCTCTCTGCCTCTGTATATGTATATGTATTTATAAGAGCGTACTGTTAGATTATATTACTGCGTGATTTCGATGCGACGTCGAAGCTATCGCCTCTCTAGATCGAACTCTGGATCTGTGATTAGCGCGAAACGCGTCAATGTTAGCGTACATACATAATAACGATAATAAAAGCCATGCAAATTATACGGTACGTGCTAATCGAAATCGAGCCCCGGCCTAGAAAACTATTGCGAATTGCCTATTCGTTTGTTGATTTTGCGCTTTCGTTTCGTGTAAGGTGTGAAGACTAAAATGGCCGATGGAGTCGTTTTGACTTCTTTAAGGTCTTCTTGTTGTCGCCACTTTGTCGTGTTTCAGGAAAACAATCTCTCACGACTTATTATATAGTTATTTTTAAGAAAGAACACGCTAAAAGCATGACGGAAGAGATCGACGATATTATGATGAATTGTTTTATAGTTAAATTCTTAGATACCCAAGAGTCATTTTGACTCTTTATTCAATTTTTTCAATGTTGTAAAGATAGTATACAAACTATTATTTGAGATTTCAATATCTTAATTTCAACTAAATTTATGATTTATTCTGTGTTCACTCTATCATATTGCTTACAACAATATCAAATGTCTATATTTCATAAATTATACTTTTGACATGTTTACAAGTCATTATCAACACGAATAATGAGTAGAGCGAATTTTAAAATATTAAAATGGCAATAAACCAAAGTGCATCTCTTCTTTGCATACAAAGGCGAATGTTCGTTTCCGGGCATTCTAGCGTTAAGACAAAAGAGTATTTCGCGTCAATCGCTGCTTCAGATCTCGAGGAATAAATGTGCGATCTCTCTGTGCCACTCGTAAGAATAATTCGCGAGAAACAAGAGAAGCCGAGTGTTCTTGCATCTTCGTATTTTTCTCACGAAATTCGAGGATGATTAGCGTATCTTCTCTTTCCCACTCTCTCTTATTCTTGCCACATCAGGCGTCTCTCTTGTGTGTCGAAAACAACAGGGATAAAAACTCGCCGGACTTGTTTCACGAGAGCACAAACGAGAAAACGGAAGAGAGAATCACGAAGAGAGACGCAAAGAGAAAAATGGAGAAGAGAGATACGCGCCGCTGTAGCGACGATAAGACGACTGATAGATCGATCGATCGTCTGTGCGATCCCGAGAATTCTTCTTGCGAATCTCGCGATTAATGCGTAATTACCGATAATCGTTTTTTGCGCCGCGCGTGTCATTTGTTTAGCTGTTTCGCGGAATTATTGCCGATTATCACGCGTTATCGCGCAAAAATACGCGTAAATATATGGAAATATGTAGAAATATGAACTCTGCGCATTTCCCGCGTGTTTTCGCCTTTTCTTATGTAATATATTATTGCGCGACGTATGCGTGTATGCGAATACACACACATGTATATGAATTCAATACAATTTGTGATTTTCTTTCGATAGATTCGCATCATAGCGTTCTAATGAGCTGCCTGTCTTCGTCTGATTTCTCTCGCATTTTAACCTCACAGAGAGCGATCAACATTATGGATCCTAAGAAAGTTGATGTAATTTATGGATAAGATGCGCTGTGTGATCCCGACAAATCAATTTATACTTATAAATAAACAATTTAAGTTACGAACGGTATTGTAATATAAAACAATCATGAAATATGACAATTTTCCATCGAACGTGATGAAAAAAAAATCAATGCGAAGCATAACATATAATTAATCGTATATATATCATGTTTGCCACGACTTTTTTGTTGAAGACAACTTAGAAAAAAGTATTTAGAAAAAAGTAAGTAAACAGAAGGATATTTTTCTCCGTGTAGGACCAAATTCCGCTCAATATTTTTAATTAAAGAGAAATAAGAGATCTAATCTCGCATTTTTTAGAGACAATATTTTACAGATATGTGTGTGCACTTCGTGACACGTGTACAACGGACATATTATTTCTACCGAATGAATGAAAAGGTAAACGACCTCAGGGCCAAAGCGCCTATTGTGCAACTCGACAAAAGACGAAAGCCTCTTCTTCTCTGTCCTTTTTTATTATAAAAATTGCGCATCGGGCATTTGCATAAATAAATCGAGGTATCTTCTGCCAATGCTGATGAATAATTGAAATGAGTGAAGTTGCTCACCTTTAGAAATAATAAAAAAATACGCGGAAAAATATTCTCGCTACGGTTTCCTATACAACCGACAGATATCTTCATTCTTAAGCGATTTTTAAACACTACTCGTACACCTTGGATCGTCATGGAAACAGGTAATAATATCTATTATTATCATCTCCTCCAATTAGCAATTCTCCTCGAGTGATTTCGTGCATCTCTGTTCGCGAGTATTATCAGACGCAATTGTAAAGTTCTACCCTTTCCATTCGCCGCGTAAAATCTTTCAGATGTTAATAATCGATTCACACAATTAGAAATGTATATTTTTCTTGCGTTAGATTGAAATTTCGCGACGTAAAATATCATTATTGTTAATATAATGGCACAGAAAAGAATCTTTTGTTCAATTTTCGGATTATGCTCATCTAGAAGACTATGAGAAGTGTACGAATATTAAGTGAAAGAGCAGTCTCTCGAGCAGACGCGCGTTACTTCAGAACGTACATTCGAAATCCCATCGATGCCTAACTTAACGTCAGAAAGCCGCGTGTGTGCACACGCATGTTTATCTCCGGTCTACTTCCGTTCGTCCCTGAAACGGAAGGTCGTCCACTCTCTGAGGACCAATGGCTATCTTAGTTACGGCATTATAGTGCCTTCCTTGAATTTCGACAGTGAAGGGATTTCCTATAAAAGCGCGCGAAACGAAAGATCGGCTCTGAATCGTTTTTCAGACGTTCGACAAGTAACAGCGACACGCCACCGTTCCACGATGAGGAAAAGTCTACTCTTAATTACGGTGCTGAGCGCAATTTCTCTGAAAGAAACTCTTGGCAAACCAGCGGAGATCGCAACAAGTCCCGATGCGTTGGAGCCCGTTGCTCTGGCCGCGAATAATTCGTCGGAAGAAGGTCGGTATACATACAATTACACTCTCATCGATATTGCTAAAAAATATTGATTTTTATGAACAATTAGTTGATTAACACGGCGTATTGCCGGAAAGAAATTTTCTTATTCAAATAAACAATTTACTTATTCAAGTAAACAAGGTCGACAATTAACCAGTTAATGAATCAATTAATTACGACATAATGTAATAATAATTAACCGAAATTAACTGTATTAACTATAAATCTTCAATAAGAGAGTCATAACGTCGATAATTTTGTCTCGATATTACTTAAATATTAATCTCCCTAGAAAATAAATGCATATCTGTTTTCCAGAACTAATCGATTAATGAATCAATTAATTATGACATAATGTTAACCGGAATTAACTGTAAATCTTCAACGTAACAGAGTTGTGGCGTCAATAATAATTATCTCGATATTACTTAAATATTAATGCCTAATGCCCCCAGAAAATAGACGTATATCTGTTTTTCAGATACTAAGCGAGAGCAAAGATCACCACAATACGGTTTACTAGGTGATTACGGCGACTACTTCGACTATGATGACAATTCGCGCCATTCCCATCGTTTTGGACACAAACGAAAATTTCATAAACCGCACAAGCCTTTCGGTCTTATCGGAGGGTGTCGCGGTTATGGCTGCGGAGAGTACGTACAAAACATCATTTTCTAACAATTACAAATACCCGAGCCACATTAAAACTCGCAATACTATGACTGCTTTCTTTTTTTTATAGAACTTGCACCTCAAATGTACAATCTGTTTCAAACGCCTGTCAAAGAAAATATAGCGACAATCGATTTTTGCATCCAAAGAATATGATATCATCCTTAGCGAAATCCTATTATTCCTCTTATTATAAATTTACTATTTCCATAGCACTTTAGAAACTACAATCTCAGTGTGATACTTTGCAAAAAACATTATAAAAAGAGATATAATTTTAACGTAATTTTTGCCAATATTTTCTTCATATACAAAAGGATTTCGCTAAGGATAAGATTATGTTTGTTTAACTGCTCATTTGGCAGATTAAGGATTATTTAAGGGTAATAATTCGACACGTACAATTTGCGGAATTTTTCACGAGTACATGCGAGAGAGATATAACCGTTCGCATTTTACTGTCCGATTCGCGCAGATACGGCGGCCATCACCACGGTGGGCAAGGAGCTTCCTTCGCAACAGCATCAGCGGGGTCTGTAGGCGGAGGTCCTTACGGCGGAGGACACAGCCAAGCGAACGCGCAGAGCGCGAGCTTCAACTTCGGTCCGTACTCGGCCACGTTCAGCGTCGCTCAGTCCTCGTCACGCGGGGGATTTTAAAAAAAGTAAGCATCCTTAATTACACTTTCTCGTCGCGTTTCCGTCAGTTCGCGAAATATTCACGTGACGTCCCGCCAACGCACCTTATTATCGTTAACGAGCCAGGGGGACCCTCGACGATTTATCAAGAGGCAGAATATTCAATGGCACGATATTACGTCTGAGCTTCCTTCGAAAGGGGATTAAAATCCAAGGATGCTGCCGCGTCAGTAACATCCGCAACGCGAGGCTACACGACCGCCCACGAAAATCGTGGCCGGATTCGGCCGAGGCGGAAGGTCAACGAACCCGGGCCTGGTCGGGTCCGGGAATCCGCGATTCGCATTATATTGCCGCGATCTCGCCGAGTGCCCTCTCTCCCTCTCTCTCTCTCTCTCTCTCTCTCTTTCTTTCTCCTCCCTCTGACCTCTCCGTCGTCCGCGTGCTGACCGATCGCGGAGGAAACGGGCCCGAAACATCTGTCCGGCGCGGCGCAGCGCGGACCTGGCGGGACCGACCGTGCGGGTCGAAGACGCAACAATCTCCTGCCGTAGCACCGGCGTACACGGGCGTATTTCACTTTCGCCAGGGTGTACATACGGGCGCGCGCGCGCACGTGAGCGGCGATTACAGGCGCGCGCGTGGTGTGTGTGTGGGACCTGCCCCGGGAAGAGGCCCCGCGCGCGAATGCGAGAGGAGCCGTGCATTCGCAGCATTGTGCCATTGAAGGCGAGGCGCGGCCCTTTCGGGGTACGTGTGAAAAAGAATGAACAAAGGGGAAATGAATCTTCTTGGTTCTCAGGCGATCGGCAGACGGCCAGACAGACGGATTAACTCGTTTTAAAGGGACGCCAGACGCCATATTGTTGTTTTGGGGCCCGTAGCTACGACAACGACGACGATCACGACCACGACGACCACGACAACAACGAGAGGACGACGACGCGCGCGGCTCGCTCTCTCTCTCTCTCTCTCTCTCTCTCCTGCCCCCACGTCTACCGTCGCAGCACAGCGCGTCGAACCGGTCTGTTTTCATCTCGAGAGATGCACCTACACGCGAATCGGAGTGTCGATTATGCACACACTTGCGACCCGCTTGGACATGCAGTAAATGGCTATTGTTCCCCCCGGAGGGAGTCAGAGGGGTGCCGTGTCTCGGGCGAGCGAGTTTAAATCGGGCCGTTCCAGATTGCCGATGTAGAAAATGCGCATGGCGAAATCGATTACGATTTTTAGCCCTCCTCCCGCCGCCCCTCTTCTGCCCAACTCCCCAAGACGACGGAGCCTCACGCAGCTCGTTGTGTGTATGTTTGTTGCACACATCAGGGTTATTTCGTTGCGACTTTTAAATCTTCTTGCGGGGAACGCGTCCGTGCGCAACAGATCGTTTCTGGAATTAGCGTCAAGTGATCCCTGATCGTTACTGTTGCGTTCCGCGAAGAGAGGAAAAACACATTGTAAAATTGCCGGAAGACGCTTCGCTCACGTATACCGAGCGTAAGAATCCGCGACTTCTATATTTTCCTCCCTTGCGTAACTGCATTAAACGTTTCATTAGAGTCGCGCTGTTATCAAGAGACAACGACGCGTTCCCGTCTCGTAATTCGACTTTAAACGCATACAATTTGCGCGGGGCTGTGTCGACGCGAACTCCTACGCCGCGCAATCGCTAAATATGGCTGCGGGATTGCAGGAGAATTACTTCTCCTCATTAAACGTGACTCATCACGTGGCTCGAATCTTAAATGGGGACTGAAAAGTCGACGCGTTGCGTCTGTCCTGCCAGAAGGATGCAACTACCGTTGCGACTTAAATTGTGCGGATAAATTCGTATATTCTCAAAAGAATATTATGCTAATCTAAAATTTTAAATATCACAGTTGAAATTTGTCGCTGTTTTTTGCATCTATTAGGAAACTGTTTATAGTTCATGGGATTTACAGCAGCAGCATTCTAGCAGTATATCTACAATTTCGGTCTCATTACCGATTATTATTCTGGCCTTAATTTAGATGGGCGCCACAGAGAGACTTTTTTTTTGTAAAATTTCAGATATAAACTCTGTTTCTCTGTGCCACTTATATTGATGAAATACAAAATATACGTGAGATACAGCAGCTTTTGCTAAACATTTATCCGTTTTAACTAATCTCTCGTGTCTAGATCACTTTTTCTATAACTTCAAGACTATTTTTAAGTAATGATTGATTCGTCACTTCAAAACTTTAACATTGGCGAACAAGATTTTTTATTTCTCTTGGAATTTTATTATTTCATTGTCTACACTATTTATCATTATTATTATTCTTCTGACAATTATTTGTATGATTAGTTTCACATCGCAACCAACACTTCAATGGGAGCGAGTAACGCGCTGACGAGCAAGTCCGTTTTTCTTCCGCAGATGTCAGAAGCTACAGGCGGATTCACCCCGAAAAAGCACCCCTAATTTATTTCCCCGTCATCGAGCTCTGCCATCATCGTGGGCCCATTGTTTACAAACATTCTACGTCACTAGACGCAAGCAAATAAGCCTAACCGCGTGCGCGTCAAAGCAGGACGGGCCACCCCCTTGCCTCCTGAGATTTCCTGAGAGAGCAAGTTCCCTTTGTCCGCATGCCAGCCACCAGATGTTCCCAAAATAAAACCGACAAAATATCGCGAGGTAGCGCCGCGCGAATCGCGCGCGAGCGACGAGGAGCGAGGCTAAGTCCGACACGAGAGCGACAAGGACGAGGAGGGATCGAGGAACGACGAGGAGGACGACGATGACGACGACGAGAAGGAAGAAGAGGAGAAGGAGAAGAGGTGAGGCCGCGAGACGAAGGGTAAAGCTGGATAAACGGCACAAAGGGATAGGAAGCCAAGAGGAGGAGGACCTTGTAAAGAGCGAAGGGCCTGAAATCGAGATCCGAAAAGCCCCGTGCAATGACCGGGCGATCCTTCGCACATGCGATCCTCTCTAGATCCTCCGATTCACGATACTCTCCTCTCGTTCTCTTTTCCCTTTCTCTCTTTTTCGAAGAGAGCCTCCTCCAGAAGGAGCGGTGCCCTATCGAGGACGAACGCATAGGATGCGCTCGTCGAAGGGCGTCGCGAATCTATTTATAGCGAGAGAGACTTTCCGATCATAATTTTGTGATTGTATCAATATTATTTATAGCGACAGATCTCCGAATAACGTGTAATAGTGGAAAGATATAACAGTGGAAAGAATGATTCACGAAGAAAAAACTTATGTAAATGTACTCGTGTAAGCCCCGACGGATCAGTTGTACTTTGTTCGCGACGTGTTCGCTGAGAAAGCGAGTTCTTCTCTCAGTGCCATTTGCATAAAACGCTTGTAAAAGAACGACCACGTGTCTCGCCAATGAAACGCACAACTCGAGATTTGGTCTAATCACTTGTTACTAATTGATGTTTTTTGACTGTTATATAAGAATAAATTAAAAAGAAAACCCGACCCAATAAGAGCCTAAATGGCGTTGTTCACTAACAATATTATTTCTCATGTCACTTATGAAGTGACATGTGAACCCCAGTTAAAATTTTAGTCCTAAGTGCAAAAAATGTCTATAGATTAAATAATTATACTGTTAAATAATTATTATTGTTAAATAACTGTAATTATATTATTAACTTGAAGAACAATGTCGTTAGGCTCTTATTGGCCGGTTTATATTTTTCAGTTATTGTTAAACATAATTACATCATATGTTCAGTTACATGTAACACAAATAAATCATCGCGTTTTTTATGTTATGGCGAGTTTGCACACCTACTCTGTTATTTTTCGTTGTATCACTTTGTAATGGCAATCGCGATGGAAACGTTCACCAATGGCAGGCAAAAGCGGAAGGCCGAGGAAACGTTCGAGGTATTACTTTAATTTTCAGAGATTAAATTCTCGCTCGTCAAGTCTCTGCTTTGGTGTTAACTGCAGCTTATCGGGTGTGTTACCCGGTGATTTTGCAAATCACGTAAGACTGTTCGATGAGTGTTACTCTTCGCACCGCGGGATCATTTAGAGACATACAAAGACCGCACTCAAAGAAAAAGAAAATGGTTTTGCACAGTAACAGTAAAAATGTTCTAGATAGAAATAGAAATTAGCGAGGATGGATAAATGACTAGCAAACACTGCGATATCGCGTGTGTTTCGTATCTCTAATCGATACTGACAACAAAAACAGAATTTATATCTGAACTATTTGTTAAATTTTGCAGAAAAGTTTCTCTGTGGCGGCCATTTAAGTCAAGGCCAGTCACGCTTCTTATAAAAGTGACTGTGAGACAAAAAGAACGAAAAACTTAAACGAATGTAAAATCCTCATAGCCACCTAACTTGCTTGCAGATATTGTTAGAATGTTACTGCTGCTGTAAGTTCTATCTTCTTCTTGCGAAATATGTTGAAAAATAAAATTACATGTTTGCAAAATGAAGCAATTAATCGAACAAATCTGTAAAAATAGTCCAAGCACTTCTCTTTTGCTCAAACAATCAGTAAATAAGCATAGAATTAACGTGATAGAATCATGAGAAAATATAGATTAGAAAGGTAACTTGCATATCACGTTAATTTTACGATAATCCATTGATTAAAGCAATATGAAAGTGTTCGCACTACTTTGTTATTAGTAAATGTGTCCAATTGATTATAAATAATAATTCTCTAACAGACGCAAAAAACAACAATAGATTTTTACTGTGACATTCAGAATTTTACCCGGACCAGCAAAACATTCTTTTGAGTGCAGAATAAAAATCCCGAAAGAGTCCAATTCCATCTTAGGGAGGTGCTGTACGACGTAAATCAGCTATTGAAAACTTACTACTGACTCGATTCGACTCGTCATCGTTAACGTCATATTCCAATTCTCGAGTTAACGAACTGATTGCGCGTACAATTCGTTTTCCCGATTCACAAAAGAAGAATAAGTCTATTCGCGCAGCGGAAAGTATATCGTTGATCGAGTATACCTCTTGGATACGAATCCCGACAATTCCGAATCATACGGCGACATCCATTCCGGGGATGCGACACCCGAGACGCGTCAAAGAGGCTCGTTAAAGGTCCGTCCTGTCGTTAACCATTGTTTAGCCGCTCCTGAGCACCTACGGCCCTGCCAGCCGGTAAACCAGTCCCTCTGTCTGAGCAAAAAGAGCGATAAAGAGAGATAAAGAGAGAAAAAGAGAGAGAGAGAGAGAGAGAGAGCTGGTAAATCGTTTGAATGGAGAGAGCAAAAGAGACGAAGAGAAAGAGAGACTGAGAGCACGAGGGGGAAGGGGGCAGAGAGAGGGAGAGATCCGTGAGGAAAAAAATGAAATAGAAAGTGGTCCGGCCGGTGCAACAGACTACAGTCTATGACGCCTTTAAAGCGCCTCCTCCTGCGGTGGAACAGCCGGGGCTTGTTCCTGTTCTTCATGCACTATAGCAAAGGCACGGTACTCTCTTGAAGGCTCCCGCGCCAATGCGCTCGCATTTCTCGTGCGGTTGTCGACTCGGAAAGTATCCCTCAACTTAACGCCGGTAAGTCGAGACACGTATTGCTCTAAGTTCGACGTCCCTTCGGCACAGAAGTGAAGTTTCATGAGGAGGTCTCAGGTCGTAAGAAGGTTTCGTACCGGTCTTTGCCGAGCTCGTGAGGATGTCGTCGCGCGGGCGTGATAGGAGTGATAGGAAACCGATCGTGAAAACTAATGCTGTTGAACTCGGCCACGACTTGTCCTGACTCGGTTGATACGGCGCTCCCTTGGACCCGTATCGATAGTTATCACTCTTGAAACGCGTCTCAAGTGAGAAACTCAAAGTTGGACGAGAGTTGAATCGCGATTACAGACAGAAATGTCACGTGTGTCGGAATTCAAAACTTGGGTCGAACTCGGAACAAATATCTTAGTATCTCACGTGAGACAAGTTTCAGATGACAACTGTTGACACGGGCCTTCGTCTCGGATCGCGACGTCACGTTCGGGATTTAAGATCCGATTCTATCATGAACGAACGCGATCGTTCCTTTGTACCGATGTCGGTGTATTATTGGCGACTTGCGCATTGGTCCTAGATAAGATACGTTTCCCGTGGGATGTTCTGATTTTGGAAGTCATCTCAAAGGGTTCGCAAAGGCTTCGAGAGAATTTATGTTTTTGGAGTTGTTTCGGCTGAGTTATGTCAACTCGATTATGGACTTTTCAGTTTTTTTTATTGAGTACACGCGAGAGGAAAACTTGCCTTTTATATAAGAGGGAGCGCCATCGAGACTTTGTACACGAATGATCAGGTATTCGAGAAAGTTGCTTGACCGTTCTAAAGATGCACGCGAACGTGATGGAAATATTAAGATATCGACTTCGGTGAAGAGACTTCTCCTTTTTTCAACGTGCGACTTGTCTCTTAAGACGCCTTTCGTTGGATAAAATAATTTTTCACAGCGATTCTTTCGCGAGAATAAAAGGAAGAGAGTTAAAATGCAATTCTAAGTATTGCGTCAGAATGGTCTCTTCATTTTGCGACTTTCACGCGAGATCGTCAGTGAATATTCCTCGACGAACGGCGACTTCTGAGATATTTAATTGTAGTATATGTATACGTATAATTTATATTTCGCAACGTCAACGCGGTCAGTCATGATAACTCCGCCGAGTTGCGCAGTCACCGTCAACGGCGCGTTTACGTAACTTTACGCCAACGCTGATTGCTCTAGAAAGTGACTCAATTAGTAACGCTTGGAATTCGCGTTCTTACAAATAACGGTTTGCGGAATCGTCGTTGATTCTTTAACGATTCTTCTCGAAATCCACAGATGCCAAGAGCCACGGAATGAGAATAACAACGACCTAACTAGCGTAACTTCTTACGGAAACGGGAACGGCTGTCATTTCTTGCCATTGTAGTGTATAGTTTTTGTGATGTGTTTTGTACGTCTAAGAACGGAATTTCGTTTCTTTGTTCGTTGACGACTTTTTCAAGATTCATCTCGTCATGATTCGACTCCCGTTTGATCTTGTCAGCGACCGTAAAAATATACTGCATTCGTTAAATAATTATTATATATTTATCACTTTAATCGTTATTTCAAGGTTCCCGTCTTCTCGCCGCGGCCATCTTGATTTATGCTATCAGAAGCGAGGAAATACACGCTAAAAATTCTTGCAAAATATGTTGAAGTAAAATGACACGTTCACAAAATGATATAACCGATCGAGTAGATCTGCAAGATACTCCGAACATTTTCCTTTTGCTCAAATCAATAAATAACCATAAAATTAATGTGACAGAATGTGGTAAAATTATAAGAAAACAGGTTAAAATGATAAATTGTATGTCATTAATTTTATTATAATCTATTGATTGTTAGAACAAAAGTGTCCGTACTATTTTATAGATGTACCCGATCGACTGCAAGTGTCATTTTATAGGCTATATCTTTTTATTTCAACGTATTTTGTAAGAATTTTAGGCATACGTTTTGTCACTTTTGATATCAACAGTCCCGTGACGAAGGAACTTTAAATTATTAATTATACGTAAAAATGCTTGATTGCTATCAAACTGTTATCATAACGTTTTGTATCTCATTTCCGTTACAGGGTTACAAAAATTTCGACCTCTGGACACAAAAATTCCCGTTGCAAGATGATAAAAGTATTGGTCCTTCTGGTACTCAGCTCGGTCTGCGTCATAATCAACGCTCAGGAGACGGCATCAAATGAAAAACGTAAGTAAACGACAAAGGAATACTGATCTTGTAATTTTCTTTAATTCTTGTTACGCGATTCTACGAATATACGCGTATACAGAGAAAAAATATTCGAAAATTTATTTGTGAAATATGAAGTTTATCCACAGAAATAATCTTTATTTTACAGAAATAAACTTTATATTCCGCAAAAATATTCCAAATATTTTTTTTCGATATATATTTAAACACGAATATATAAAAAATAAAATATTAATCGGATGCTATAACTAACGCTACACGTTTGAAATTCCGATTAATCCGTTTTTTTTTTCATGTTTGAGAAATGTTTTCTCAGTATAGTAAAAAAAATTGATTTTTAATTCCCTCATAGTGCGTTGAAAAAATTTATCTAATTTTCTGTTTAATCGCGCAGCGCTTTTTGGCCAGACATTCGATGAAATTGTCGTGTCCTCGGACTTAAACGTTAGAAGGAAATCAAAGGAGAACCGTCAGGGCAAAAGGTTACTGTCGAACGTGCCGTCAGGAACCACCGGTCCGCCGGAAAAGCCAACTGCAATCGCATCCAGGCTCGTTTCCGCCGATGGAAGCCGTATAACGCCAGAAAAAAGGGAGAAGCGTGATATTGTTACAGCGCGAAGGAGGTAAATCCACAAAAAGTACAAGTAGTTCCGAGATCGATATACCGACGGAATGAAATCTGAATCGATCAAAGCCTGATTTAGAGATACCGAGATGACGATGGAGCTCAAATTATGATTCAAATTGCTCAAACCTGTAATTATCTTCAAATACTAAATCCTCGACGATCCATCTACTCAGTTATTGCTTGCCAATAACTAAATAATATCGTCAACTATACGTGCCAATTATATTATTGACACAAGTATAAAACTGTCAAATACCGACCTATGCCTGGTGTTGGACATTAATCAATGCAAATTTTTCTTGACTAAAATAATCGATAAATTATTGATCGAATTTAATCAATCATTATATCTGTAATCACAAATAATTTAATCGAATGATAAAATTAATTAATAAAAAAGAATTAATTAATGCATAATCAATCAAAGTTCAATTAATAATTAATTTCATCAATCGATGGAATTATTTGTGATTTTATTCATGACGACTGACTAATTTTGACTATCGATTATTTTAGTCAATTATTTTAGTCAAAGAAGATTTTTATAGATTAATGTGCCCAACACTAATCTATACCTTCAGCATTTTAGGCAATTTATCGATAAGAAAGCAATTAACCGAATTTGTATTTAGAACGCGTTTGAATTGCGAATATTTCGTGATGACGTTTAATTGAACGTTAATATGTCCACGAAGTTGCGTATGAAATGGATTTATACGTAATCTCGATCAGGTATCTGGATTTGGGCGTCGCGGGATACCTGCTGAAATCTCGGAAACGGTGAAAAATTCTACCCCGAGGACAACCGCACGACCCTCACACCCTCATCTGTGATCACACCTCTTTCGACGTACTTTTAGACCACGGCTCATGTAACAAAAGGAACAATAAAATTCTTCTGTGTCATAACACCCCCCCGCTTCCTATCATTTCGCACAGCCACGGGATCGTACTCTTCAAACCTACGACTTGGTAAAATTTATATTTTGCACGGAACACACGAGACTTGTAATTGTCTGAAATTACGCAATGTTTAATTTCGCACGCGTTCGACGTTGTGCAAATAATACATAAAAATTTTTCTGCGTCATAACATTTCTCCTAATTCTTATATCTCTCCATTTTGTCGCGAAATTCTATAAAACTTCGAACTTCCTTAAATATGTCTTATGCGTAACAAGAGATTCGCTTACACGATATAAATATGCAATATTCAGTATTCAATATTCAACATTCAGTGTTTAATATTCAATGTTCAATATTCAGTATTCAATTTCGCACGTCTCTGATGTTGTGCATATATGACACAATTATCTTTGTAATAGTGTGAATATTCAAATAAAATTTACAATTTACAATCAACTACAGAACAACAAGAAGTCACCATATTGTTAGCGTCATTACGATGAAGGTTTTCTCGACATAAAATTAACGATCGTAAATTGCAAACAAACCTTTTAAGAGCAAATAGAGCCAGTCTTGTGCGTTATTATCATTAGTAGAATTGCAGAATACAGATATCATTGTCGAGATTCACGCGGAACAGTGCGAGATGAATTTTTGCGACGAACGAAAATAAATGTAATTTAAATAACGCGGCACTTCTTACAAATGTGTTCTTATAGACAGTACATCACAGTCGCACAATGCGACCGCCGCAACGGCCGATTGTCAGGCATTCCGCGTTCGTACGCGAGCCGAAAAAAATCGGTTGGCTGAAATATGGCAGCAGGCGCTCAAAAGGCAGCCGACATCGCGATGCGTCGCGTCGAGGCACCATGACGTACCGCGCGATTCATCCGCGGCACGTGACACGCACGTTCAAAACACGTTTAACCACCCTGGTTTTTCATCGCCGAGCTCATCTTGTCGCGCAATTAATCATCCGTTACGTTTTTTATGGTTGTCTATTCCTAATTTTATACGTGGTAGTCAATGACGTGAAAATTGTTCTTTTTCCTTTCTATTTTTCGTATATATAAGATGTGTATGTATATATATAAATAAATAAACTTTATATTTGATAAGTATTTTTAAGTATTTTTTTAAGGTCTATGCTTGGGAAAAAATATTTGAAAATTTATTTGTGAGATATAAAGTTTATTTCTGTGAAATTACGATTTTACAAAACTTACAAAAAATATTTGAAAATTTATTTGTATGTGTGCAATAAAAATATATTTCCCAGAAAAAAACTTTATATCTCACAATTAAATTTTCAAGTATTTTTTCTCAAGAGCATAGACTTTAAAAAATACTTAAAAATATTTATGAGATGTAAATTTTATTTCACAGAAATAAACTTTATTTCATAAAAAGAAATTTTATATCTCATAAATAAATTTTCAAATAGTTTATCTCAATGTGTAAATACGCCTTATCGCGCGTCATTAATCTCTAAATTTCTTTTTAAACGGCCTTAAATCGATGTACTGTCTATAATACACAATTCTTGATCAGTGACTTCTTGTCGTCATTGCGATTTACGTCTACTAAGTATTCGCATGCAATATGTAGAATATTAAATTGACTCATCATTTCGTTGAGAAGCGATGCCCAGTCGTGTAGGTCCATCGATGAAGTCCAGCACTATGTCGATCCGCATCTGGTCCAGCACTCAGTCATCATCCCTTGTAAATCACTTTACAGGTATGAACTCTTCAAAGTTCTCTTCATTGCACTCGCGATCGCGATGAATTTAACGGCAATTGACAAAACAGAATATCTGGCTGCACTTGCCAGAGCGATAATCTTAATGATTGTTGGTTAAATAGAATATTTCGCTGCATTTGACAATTTAATCGGAGTTTGACGAATGAAATTTAAACAGAAATTTACGATGTCTTTTTAAAACGTTTTGAAAAAATATTACTGAATCATGTATCGTGTATAAAAAATCGTAAACCGAAAGTCATGATACTCTCGATAAGTTAAATAAACGCGAATTCCGCGGATTGGTGGCGCAATTTGAATGCACATTTTCTTGCACAATTTTTTGTGCAATCTGGATGCGCAATTTTGCTGCGCATTTTTGCCGCGCCATTTTGAGGCGCATTTTATGCTACTTCATACAATTAGAGGATCACACTGAATAAATGAAAAGATCTTGTTGAATAATACAACACTCTAATTTAAAATGATACAATAAACGGCTTAACGATAAAAGAAAGGCTAACGGTTTATGAAAATCGAACTTAAATATCATGGATTGTGTTATATACACTACACTCGACAAATACTGTTATTGTACTGTTAGTTTAAAAAAATGTTTGTTGCCAACATCTCAACCGCTCACTACCGTTTATCTATACTCGGTTGTGTTTATTACCAACGACCGTAAGTTTATGCGACATTTCTCTTAATTGTCCATCAAATAATACTATATAGGCATTTAAATGTGCGATCCCCTAATTGTTTTAAGCAGTGAATTTTAATGGACAACACAAATATATATATATGCCAAAATCACAATCACTACCAACTATGTAAATCGCATTGTTAAAATTCTACAAACATTCCCGTTACCTTTAATTGTTGATATAATTTTCCTTTCTTTAACTCACCAATTCACAGAAGCTCAAGGCCGGCCACATTCTGCAACGATTCTGGAACAAAAAATATAATTTCGTCGATTAGATGAAAGTTAATTTATTAAAAATGAGACGTAGCAGAAAATATTGGTAGATAAAGGTGCGTTAGCTTTTTATAATAATTATAATTCAATCGAAGCAACATCCAAGTTTCGTAGTAAAGAATTAAACACAAAAATACAGGAAAAGTGTGAACCTACCTTCGAGCCGACCTTGCTATGCCCGAACCGGGTCCTCCGGTGTAGCATTCCCGTTCACGGAAACATCTTCGGGGGCAGAATTCGTAGTGTGGCCGCAGACTCTAAATCTAAGACAAAAAGTAAATATCTTGATTAATTATTGTAATAAATTTAAAAAATATGATGGATGTATACTTTTTTAACGGTTTAACTATCGTCAAATTGCGCTAATTATAATGAGTTATATTGTCAACACTTTCTATCGTGCTCAAAATGTTTTGCTAAATACAAAATAAATTCAATCTTGAATAATGTTATTTTGAACGATAATATAATCTATAACTTCAATTTAATTATATTTTAGATATCTTTATAAGTACTAAGTAATCTCATTTTTATAATTAGAGAAGTGATGTTATTACTCTCATAAGAATGGCTTGACAGCCATAATGTTAAACTAATAGATACAAAGAGTGATAGTTACCATATTTCAATATTATTGCTAAAGATGATCCAACCACTGATCGTGAGGGTAGTGATAGTTAGAAGTAAAGAGACACAATGTATCTTTGGTCGTTCTTTAGTTGATGTAGATAAACCAAAGAAACTGAGTTCTAACAGATCTGGAACATAAGATAGATTTCCTGATTAGTTACATTGGTAAATGTCAAAACAACACTGGAAAAAAGGTTTGGTAATAACTATTAAGCTTGGTGAAATAAATTAAATGTTTAAATTAAAAATTAAATGTAAAAATTAAATTAAATGTAATTAAATTTTAAATTAAATGTAAAAATTAAATTTTTAACTAAACATGTAAATGAATATATAATCAAATAATTATATAAATATTAAAAAATAATCTTAACATGACTTAATATATGTTGCTAAAATTTAGTTATTACCAATTTATGTGGTACGTATAACCAAACAAATTGCTACATAAAACCACATTGTTTAATAATATCACATTATGCGATAAATATATAGAATAATCGAACATCTTTTTAATAGTCAAACTATTTCGTAATGAATTATGTATCATCAATATGATCATCAAATTACCTAATATTATTTAACCAAACATATAACTGATTCATTGAAATAAATAATATGCTTTACTAATTATTAGTAGATGATTAGTAATTAATATCATATTTGATTACCAAACATTGCACTATTATTAATTACCAAACATTGCACTCTAAAACATTGAACCAAATGTGTTTGTTACAAGACTTGTCTTTCAGTGTATGGGCAGTATATATTTCTATGTATTTTTACATATTTTTACTTTATATGACTATATATTTCTCTTTTAATACTTTGACTGCTATTAGTCATGGCTATTAATTATAATAAGCTGTATAATTGATACTCTCAACACCGTACTAAAAATATTTTAAAAAAGAATAAAGAATATATCATGCGAAACAAAATCCACCTTGAATACTGTCGTTCTTAATTATAATGTAGCCTAGTATTTTTATATCTGATTGTTTCTATATACATTAAACGTTTTTACAAGTATTTAGTAAAACTTATAATCAGTAAAACAACGTTATCACACTCGAATAGCGGTGACCGACAGTCAAAGTATTAGTATAAGAAATGAAGAGAAAGAAAGATTGAAAGTTACCTCTAATATTCCAACTGCCACCGCTGACAAAAATAGTCCGAGCACGGCGATCGCTGAGCGTGAAATAACGAGGTCTCACTCTGCTTGATCAGATAAACAAAGGTTGACGCGTGCGACACTCGCCGGACCGACGCACTTGAGACAATGTTTTGGTCGCGCGCCTGTCGCGTGCCTACGCCGTTATCGCTTCCGCGATCACACGGCGTTACCGGCGTAACGTGCCTACGCATGAGATTAAATTTCATTTGACGTTAAGAGAGTTTTGTGAAACACGCAAGGATAGATTACCGATATACTGTCGTGTCACTCGGCTTACTCCGATGTCGGCACGCACACGTATCTGCTTGGCTCCTGTCTATCTGAACATCTGTTCTCTCCAACGGTGTATTTCCTCGCGATCTCCTTCTTCTCCGCAATCCGCCGTGTATCTTATCCATGTGTTAGATTTTGGAACAAGTATTTTCGAGAATATTGTTTTAGCTCGTCCCGAATGCGCCGCACTTCTAGCGCGACCGACGTAATGGCGGAGGGTATCGAGTATAGCCGTGTCACGAGACTACCCGAAGAGCTAACCAAAGCGCGCGCGTTCCGTCCTTCTTACTAACCTAAACCTAAACTTCCCACGTTAAAATTCGATTTATACGTACTTTAAACTCCTTCGCGAAGCAATTTCTCATGATCTTCTTCCCTTCCTTTTTCTTCCTTCGAGGCTCACAACTACTTTGCACGTCTCGGAACAAATGTGCTTTCGAGAATATTGTTGAGAACAGTTCGTTACGAACGTTTCGTTTGCAACGCGAGCCGGCGTAACCGAGTTCGTTTGAATCGCTACGGAACTATACGAGCGCGCCATGGAGCTAACTCTAAATTGTGCGCCTTTTCTTACTAACCTAAACCTAAACTTTCCACGTAAAAGATGTAATCCGTAACTTCGATATTTGATTGTATTTTAGATATCTTTATAAGTACTAAATAACTCAGTAAAAAATGACTCGGCGATCGACGTCGAAAAGACGTCGAATAGTAAGATGACCAGATTTCCAAGCTTTAAATTCTGGGCACTTTATAAATGTGTGGAGCGGAGGGAGGGGGATCAAGAGATCCAAAAATTATTTGACAATCATTGAAAATGATGACAAATCGGTATCCCGAATAGCACACGAAAAAATTCGGGACAAAGGATGAAAAATCGGGTCGCCTTAGCTGTATGTGTCGAGAAGGGAGGAGATTGCTCTGTAATAATGTACTTACGATATGTCCTGATAACCGCACGTCGTTGTTTTCGGCACTCTTATACTTATTTCCGCAGGAGATTCACAGGACACAAGTGAAAGAAGTATGGAATACGGAGCGTTATGTCCATGGCAGTTGCTTGGCATGAAAAGATCGCAGACGCGTGCGCTGTCCATCACGTACATCAAAAGTTTATGCGCGCCAAAAGTGCCAAAAGTGCATGAATGTGAACGCGCCAGTGATGTGAACGAAGTCGCGCGTCTACAACGACGCGATCTATACGCCTTAACCACTTGCTCGAGTTACTAACTGCTCTAGACCAATCGCGTTCGTTTCGCACTACGAGGTTGTCATCGTGGTTATTCAATCTAGGTTGGTAATGAATCGCGCAAAATGCTCGATCTTTTCGCGCCAAGCAGCAGCCATGAGCACACATCGATCCACATCGCTCCGAATTTCTCGCGTCTTTTACTCGTCGAAAGTGAGTCTCGCTCGTTAATAAGTCTCGGGAATGTCAAGAATAGCGATGTGCGATCGCCGGGGCATATCGTGAAGACGTCATTTGTAGGTAATCTTCTCGTTTTTCCTCGCAGTATATGCGGCCGGTGCTTGTCGCGACGTGTCGCGCCAAAGTCCCTTATATTTGTTAATAACATTAACACGCTCAAGTAACAATAGAATCAGGCGATCTCGCGTATGCGCAGTGGTACCTATCCTGCGCAGAAGCCGATAATCGGTCATGTTACTGCAGGTTAGATCATATAGTGTTAGCATTAAGAGCAGATTCTAGGATAATTTTTCACAGTCTTTTAAAGTAATTCTCGTGGTTTTCTTACGAAAGTTCAATTTAGAAGACGTGCGTATTTCGACTGGCATTGTCTCCTGAATAACAATGTGTGTTTGTGTCACTCTACTCCCTCAGTAGCACACACAGAATGTTTAAAATAATTCAATGAACGCTGCCATGTTGATATATCGACATTCGATTAATGGCGTGAATTTTCTCGTGACTGCCGAAATTTAAGCACGCATAATTTTCGTAGTGACAGTTTTCGGGAATTGAGAAAAGTAGTTCGAGTCGAGGGGCTCAATCGGCTTCCTGGCAAAACGATAAGAATAATTCCATGCGCTCTTGTTATCCTCTTTCGCGAATAGCTTTACAGATCGAAGACGCGTTATAACGTATCCATGAGCTGTAACGGTTCAAAACGAGCTATCGTATTTCCGTCTCTGATAAATGAAGCCGTACTTTATGCCAAACTGCTCTTCTTACGTACATAATGTTAAAGGGAAAAGAAAATCGCGATCTTTCTCGGAATCGATCGCATGGCGGAAAACCCTTGGATTTTGATTTACGACCGTGGTGTTACGTCGCAAACGGCGGATTCTCTGTTGTGTGCGTGGAAAGCGAGGGAATATTGTATTCCGAACATTGAGGCTGACTAGCACCATACTTTATAGTGATTTCGTGGCTAGACTCCCGGAGGCACGCTGACATATTCGTGCGTGTCATACTTCTTCTTCGATGTTACGACACGCAAGTAAAATATCCTATAATTGGCTATCGGGCGATAGTGGCAATCCCATGTTGATTTAATACTGCGGTATCAAACGTGCACACTTCATCTCCTCCATTTGTGCAGTGTTGAGAAAACGATTGATTTCGATGAAAAAAAACATCATCCCAATGCTACCCAATCGAAGACGCGATTTCCCTTGAATAAGATATTTCTACTTATTTCTAATATACATTACTTAAAGAAAGGAAAGTAAACTAAAAAGAGAATTCTTGTTGGATGTTTAAAAAATACAGAGTTAATATTGTTTATTTTATCTGTAGAAATTGTTAATCTTTCAAAATTAGATAATATTTTGTTTTCTATTTTATTTAACGAATACGACCAACTTTTGGCACCAACCTAATTAAAAATACAATATAAATGATATTTTTCTATGTGTATATCATATCATTGTCATAGAATATTTGAAACATACCTTAGGAGATTATTTGACTATAGTTATGTAAGAATAATCCAATCAATGAAGTATGTTTTGACAAAAATGAAGGTGAAATGTTGATATATGATTTTAAAAATATATAGACTCTGAGGTTTTTTGCAATCGTTCAAAAAGTCAGGCATGGATAATTTTCTTTAGAGGTATTTATTGACAAGCTTAACCCTTAAAAGAGTTGATAAAAATATGCAACTAGAAGAAAATGTAAATATTGCTTTTTAATTAATTTTAGACACCCACAAAGTCTGGACTATTTTCACTTTGTGTAAAAAGACATATGGACTGCTCACTGATAAAAACAAAAATTCAAAAATCATAATTCTGTGGGTTGAATCATTCTTGCATAGCTATTTAATATTGATTGTGTATTTGATAGCCTATTTGATTTGTTTTCTCTTGGAAAACTAAATAAATAGAAACATGAATAACTCGCAAGACAACGAAGAAGAGTTCGCATCTCGAGGACGAAGAGATCGCGACTCTACTCCAGTCCGATTCAGGCCGGAAGTAGCATTCCACGATTCGAATACAAATCCGGCCGATCAATTTTCTCGGCGATCGGTGGAGAACGAAGCCCGCGTTCGCAGGTGTCTCTCGTCTTCTCCGGCACGATCTTGAATTCGTGTCGGACCTCTTATCGCGATGCAGAATCCGTAGTGTTCGCCATGGTGTACGTATATCGCTGCCTGTGTACGACGCGCGGGCGTTTATGTCGGTCGACGATGCACCTGCGACTATTTTATGTCTTCCCTGGAAAAGCTGGACACTAAATTCCAAACGGGCATCCGTCGCCAATCTGTTGACTGCTGATCAGACCGCACGATATCAATGGCGCAGCTTGAAGAGTCCCCGTGAGCGATCGCGGAGATGAATATCGAGTCGTGTCGATCGCATCACAAATCTCATAACCAAGACTTGTCAAAATATTTAGAGTGTCGAAATTTGTCCGTGTTTAATTAAATAAGCCAAAGTTCTAAGCTACACAGTAAAAATACAAAACAAAAAAGCTTATTATAAGAGTCAATGCTAGGTAAGTGGAAATTAATAATTAATTAAATGAATGGCTCGAGTAAATTAATTGTGAATTTTCGTTTATTTGTGTAATTTTACTTAACATTGACTTTTGTAGGTTCTTTCTCGTTCTGCATTTACTTGTATTATCTATAAGATATCGTGACTCGACTTCCCATCTTTCTAAGATGATTTACGATAGTATCGCTAAAAATTCACTGTACTGAGGAAAAAATACCTGGAAATTTATTTGTGGGATATAAAGTTTATTTAGAGAAACAAGCTTTATATTTAACAAAAATAGACTTTATTTCACAGAAATAAACTTTATATTCTGCAAATAAATTTTCAAGTCTTTTTGTGTACGGAGACACGCGTGATTAGATATTTTGATTCAAAAATTGTTCAAATCTTTTATTGTATTTTGAACACTTTTCTGATTCGATCAGAGTCGCGGTCACCTCTCGATAATTTCGCCGCGATGTTTGATATATTTTCGAGTCGCGAGAAATATCCATGACAAGATCCCTTTGTCCTGGCTACGCCACTGAACGCCACAGGATACGCGCCTAAGATAACACGTACCATACCATCGGTTTGATACAAGCACAAATTTCCTCTGTTCTCTTTTGAAAATTTGCAAAATGAGCGCAATCCGCAGGCGAGATGTTACGCGGTCTTTCAACCCGCCGTGCTTACCGGATTTACCGGATTGCTATTCGTGATTCGTTTCCAAATAGGATATCGCTGCCTGCTTGTACACGTGTGCGAGATGCGCGCGGAGTCGATGCTTTGTAGAAACTCGGGTGGGAGTCGATCACGGACGTTCATCCACCTGGGGACGAAGAATCCTCTGAGATTCAGACGAAGTCCGCGAAAATACGGTAAGATAATCCTTTATTTCTGCACCGTGTGTAATAAACAAGTCAGTCTCGCATGCGTTACCAAACGGAGAATTGCTCAACCATGCCTTAACATGTTCCTTTTCTTTAATTTATTAAAGATCTTTACTCAGTCCAGTGTGTAATTTCTATTCTGTAAATCCCGAAAATCGATCTATCCTATAAATCGCCTGATGATATCTATAGTTGTTCTTTTTCTTTTTTTCCAAGGATATTCTGTAACTTCTGGGTTCGTGGGATTTTTATCAAATAAAGGGGCAGTCGCAAAAGTGTCAGGGCAATTTCAATGACGACACTTCGTGGAGCTCGTAAGAATTTACATGACGGACCCTCAGGTCTCGCTCATCGGTGTGCAATGCGTCACGAATTGATCGCTTCCGAGCCGATCTCTTGCCGAAATCTATCGGGCAGGACTGCCGAAATGTGGTATGATTCGCGCGTTCGACATTCCAACGGTCCTCGTGCGTGATCCCGACGATCAACGTCTCCCCGTGTGTCTCGCCGCGTGCGTATGCCGTTGCACAGCGCGTGTAATTCGACATTGGCTAATTTTAATTCAGCTTACGCGGTAGCACTAAATGAGATTCCGTCGGCAGACGCGTAGACGTTCGCGAAAACAGAAGACGAGAGAGTACCGCGAAATCCTGGAAATCCTGGGAATCTCTGCTTTTAATTCCGCGACGGGAGAAGAAGTCCGCCGCGGGGAGAACGCCGCGCACACGAGATATGAATTTATCTCGCTTACCCGAGTAAATAAATAATTGAACAGGGTTAATACGCGAAAGCCTGATTCGCGCGCGGGAGAGGCTGAATAATTCAACGACACTAAACGCGTACTCGCTCAGTGTCCTCGTTTGAATCTCACAAATCGGTATCGGACATACCGTGCGGTCGTCGAACTTGTCTCCTTATATCCAATCATTGAAGGGTCTTTTTGGATTTCTAATGCGACTGTATCGAGCTACTCTAAGCGATGTATCGATTAACAGAGAAAAGTTTTAATATTTCAGCTTTATCGTTTGAATGAGGAACGAACTCAGGGGCCTACCTACGAAAATCATGCAGTTAATTGACTCATTGCGTATCTCGAATTATAATTGTGTATTATTCCACATGAAAAAGATTAGTTTGATTAAATAAAATTCAATTTTTGCACTGAGAGGAATTATCAGATAAAGAATTATCCAATGGATATTTCCGATCAAGTTTCGAACAATTTTTACATCCGATTAAATCTAATATTCCACTCAAAATAGAATTTTGTCAGATAAAAAAATTAACAATTGATGTTTCTTATCGGATGTTTTTTGATTGGAGATATAAGAATTAAACGGTATTCAGCTTTTGACCGTAGATATCAATTTGATAATTTTTTATCGGATAATTTCTCTCAGTGTGTTGAAAATATGAACGATTCGGAAATTGAGATTGTTAGAATTCAGATTATTAGAATTCTATACTGAAAAAATTATTCTTGTATTTAAAACTGAAATATTTAGTACATACGACTTGGTTGATATTATATGTTTTTTACTTATGTCAGGTATATGTATTGTTGAGAAAACGAAATACACGCAGCAGCAATTAAATGTTTTGATTGCAGTTACCAAACATTTGATTGGTTTCATTAAACCAAATTTTCATTCGGTGTGCCAAATTTTTGTCTTGACGACAAAATCCTGTTTTCAAAATTATCAAGATGTCTGACTTAACTCAAATAGAAAATTCTAGTAATTCCAATTTCAGAGTCGCTTATATTTTACCAGAAATTAGTCCATCAAACTAAACTTTCGTTTTCCCGCGCGATTTTGGATATTCACATCGATCCGAATATATCCAGGATTTCTTCATCTGTATAGCCTTGAGCTCTCCACAAAATTTCACACATTTTTCTCGCCTCGATTACTTTCAGCTCACGATTAATTCGCCATTGCGTCCAGGTCGGTAGTGCTTCTTACTGACTTTGTCGCGCTTGTATACCGCTATCGGATGTTGTACACACGGTGAGCCCGCGCTATTTCATGAATCAACTCCGAAATCAACTTGTGCTTTTCAAGTCACGTGTCTCGTATTTTCGGGCGTGATCGGACGCACCAAGAAGCGAGGCATGGCCCGACGAGCGGGCCCAGGACGAGACACGGGCGCGTCGCGATCGGTATCACCGGTGTATCGCAAAAAATTCGCACATCACTCCGCCGGAATATATTCCTTCTCGGAAACCACCGAAATCAATCTCCGCCGCACATTCGCGGCGCGCTTTTCTCCGGATTGTTTAGCAGTCGGATTACGGATTATGTTACCACTCGAGTTCCGACCTACGGAATCGCGATCGCCGAGGCAATTCGCGAATGCGAATACGGGATCCACGGTCGTTTCTTTTGTTCCTCAGCTCCTGAACGCGTCGCTGGGCCGCGACTTTGAAACACACCGCTTGAATATTTAATTTTCACTTGCTCTATTCTTTTTTTAACCAACTTCAGGAAAAGAAGTTTCCAAATTTTTTGTTCTGTATGTACATTCAAAGGAAAAATGTCTAAAATATTTAAAAAAATATTTGTTTAGTGGGTACTAATGACATATTTACTAAAATCTAAATCTTTTTATTTAAATAGAATAAACAATTGCTTTCATAAAAAGCTAACTTTTAATTTATTTGCTGAAAAATTTAATTACTGCTGTTTTGCCTTGCTTTCTCAGTAATATATTTACTTAGTCACTAAGCAAAGCAAAATAACGGCAATTAAATTTTTTTGGTTATAATTTGGTTGTAATTATTAAATATTTGTTTCAATTTTAGTTTAACCAAATTTTGGTTTTGTCAACCAAGTCCTTTCTGTAGTGTGGAAGTTTTTAAAGACGTACTTTATCTTTTTTAAATTGTTTATTTCCTACTTTTTTAAATTGATATTTTTAGTTCTTAATTCTTAGGAAAATTGTCACGCATTCTTTTCGGTTCGAGAAATCCTAGTCGAGCTTGTAGTGTTCCACATGAGCGGCACGTTTCATTGGTTGCGGGGTTATTTTTGACGCGGCTCGACTCTGGTTTCGAATGATCTATGCAACGATGGATGGTCCGTCCATTGGCCAAGTATAATGACGCTCGTTTGACGTAACGTCTCCGTACGACGTGCGTGCGACCTCTTAATATTAATATTATGTCAGTCATACTCGGCCGAGCGCCTGCGGGTACGACTGGTCAGAGGCGACGATAATTCTTGGGGACGATCAGGAGTCCGTAAGAGTCCAGTGGTGGTGGCCGTGCTCGTCGTGTCCAGAATCGTAAAACGAGCGTGTCTCTTTCGCTCTTTCTCACAGTCGGATCCGCCTAGACGTGTCACTGTCCCTATACGCTCCATCATCTTCAGCCTCAAAGGCAAGTCAAGAGAAGCGAAATTACGATCGCGGACTGACACTAAAAGAGACGCGCTCTCTTCGCGCTCTGCTATTCACACTTTATGTTTGTGACGAATGCAGCTTCCCGTCACATGGTCGTAACTTCTTCAAACCTGGTTTCACTTCGTCGTGTATATTACGACGTTCAAGTCGTGAATAAGATCTTTGTTCTCTCTCTCTCTCTCTCTCTCTCTCTCTCTCTCTCTCTCTCTGTATCGTTGTCGTTTCACTCTGACTTGAATTTGAACGTGTCTCTAATCGCGAATTCTTTTATTTATTTTTGTTCTCCCGAATTTTTTCACGCTGCGTCGTATTCATGGTGTTTTTATATGATAAAACATTTTGGAAATTTATTCCTTATTATATATTGCTTCTGTACGTGATAGAATGTTTCTGACATTTTTCTCAAGATCGTTGTGAATGCTTTCACCATGAGATTTGCATTTACTACTCCGTAAACCTTTTGCGAGAGTATCGGCCGAGAAAATAATGGTGGATGAGCAAAGAATCCTTCGATCCTCGAGTCGCACATATATTTATAGAACAATTGAAAATGTATGAATCTATCCTCGAGCCTGTTTGTCTGGTACGTCGGAGATCCCTTTATCGCGCCTTGATCCGTGATTCAGTAACTCATGTCGTGAAAGAGGAAAAGTGACGGGCCATCGGCCCTCCGCGACCATTCGTCAACCATTGCCCATTCACATTCCCGCCGTTTCTCAAGCGAATTCATTACAAACACCTTGTTTCAGTCATGAGCCAGAAGCTTCGAGCCAGCCTTCGAGTGTATTTGGTCGCAAAATTTATCGAGTACTCGATGTTTTCTCCTTCCGCCGTTGTCTAGCCAAACTGAAATGCGACAACGGATATTACATACAAATTAAATAAAGAATATCAAAGTTTAGCAAAACAGGTGCAGCTAATTAGAAATATTGTCATACAAATTGCCTGAAAACTTGATCCAGGATCTAAATACTAAATAGGATCTAAGTCTCTTGCGTCCTGAACTCTATTTTGTCGATAAAACTGCCACTCTAAATGTGACTTATAAGTCTTCTGATTGACTTATAAGTACGTTTGAATGCACTTTTATCCATAAAAGAGAGCTCACACAGAATAAGGGTCTAAACATTCAAAATCTAAATATCTAACTCTATCCAAGATCCAGGATCTCTTTTTCAAAAAGAAAAGTCTTTTCTAAAGATCGCGCGACACAATTATTGCTCATTTTAGAGTCTTTTGCCGGCAGAAGGACACGGCACCCGCGCAATTCGGCATTCCTCTTTCTTCATTCGCGCGCGCTCACGCGGGGCACACGCGAGGAGGGTCTTGATGAAACTCAGCCATCTCTATATCCCGAGCGCCCGCGCGTTCGATCCCTCGAATCCAGATTGCCATCGGCGCGGATCACAATTAATGCATCAGATTCAGCATGTGCCGCATCGTTCATGGGAATCACGTAGCGCTGAACGATACGTGCGTTTGCTTTACGGTGATTCTGGCGTACAAGCGACCACCTGACGACGCCTGGTGGGGGATCTCGATCCCGCATCCCCCGTGTCCCACCGATGAGTCCCTCCGACCTATACCCATACCCCCGTGTCGACGGACGTGTACTTGTCCGTCCCGTATCCGTGTGTTTCATGGTATAAAAGCAATTGCGTCGGCGAGGACCAGCAGCAGCGTGCAAAAAGTCAGTATCGCGTAGAAGCGTGGAGAAATCGGTGGCAGTGAATCCCCTTCGATTACCGCGATTTTCCGTCCGACCGCGCAAGAAGTCGGGTGCTCGCCGGAGGAAGTCTCAACAGGGAAATCTCGAGTGATTGAGAGAAGCTGATCCGTTACGCGGATCTCAAGGAACTCGTAAAACAGGACTTTAGCGAGGATGGCCTGCTGGTTGAACTTCGTTCTAATCGTGATCGCGTCGACGATCGTGGTTGCCGAGTCGAGTGTGGTTCCGGCCGAACCCAGTAAGCGCTGAAAATCAATATATTTAATATATATTATCTTTTTCTTTCATTATGTGCTACTTAGTGAACTTTACTCGAATTTTTGTGAAATTTTGTAAATTGCATTGTAGCTCCTTCGTCTGAAAAAGTTTCTGAAATCAATCTTCGACTTTATTTGTGTGTGTTTATTTGTTGTCATTTCTCCCTTTGACAATCTATCAGTATAATATATAAATTTTTATATAGGATACATATTTTTTTACTACATATGTGCTATTTATTAATAACTTTTACCTTCTATATTTTTCGAATTTCAAAAGCTTTATTCTTAACTTCTTGTTCAAAGAATCTTTAAAATCGGTTTTCGAGATTCTTATACATGTGACTCGTGCGATGTGGATCAGGAATTAACATCTTTCATTTTGAAGTAAAAAACAATAAATGTAAGAATAAAAGTCCGTATCTTGTCATTTCTCTGTGCAATTTATCACACACAATAATCTAGAAATCTGATATATATTTTTTATTACATATGTAATTTATAATAGCTTTACTTTCAATATTTTTCAAATTTAGCAAGTTGTATTAATTCCTTTGACTGTAGTCTCTCTTCAAATCAATCTTCGAACGATGCATAACGAATCAAGCATTGACGTCTTCCTTTCTTAAACTAAAAAATAAAAAAATAAAAGATCTGCATTTTATTTAGTCTCCGTCATGCTGGACGCTTACGGCAACCCCATAATGTTTCTGAGGGAGAAGAGAACTGCCGTGCACCCTTACCCGCAACGGGCGATGATGTTCACCGGATATTACAGGCCGGTACGCCGTTCGAGTAACGGCGGTCAGGCGACCGGCGTCTTCGCTCAGGGGAACGCCGTGAGCGGCGAGGCTTTTTTCGGCGGGATGCACACGCCGCATCTCAGGGGTGGCCCAGAACCCATCGAGGAACCGGAAGTGTCCAGCGCCGAGGCGCAGGCGGCGCCCGCGTCTGAGGAGACCTACAACGAGAATGAACAACGGCATCAAGAGCAACAGCCGCATCATCAGGAACATCATCATCACTATCCGCAAGAAGAACAGCATCACCACCACGAAGAGGATGAAAAGTATCACCGCGACGAACATCACCATCATCATCAGCAGGATTCTCTCAATCCTCAGGTATGAAGTTCGCGGTTTTGCAGTTGTTCGATATATACGAAATCATTTCCGAAACGAGTGAATCTGCAAGAGGAATTGAATGAAGAATTCGGAACAAAATAATCTAATCAATTCATAATTGGTAATTTCGTCTAGTTTATGTGTGCTTTAAGAGAATCTTATACTGCAAAAAATATTTAAAAATTTAATTGTGGGATAAAAATATATTTCACAAAAATAAACTTTATACTCTACAAATAAACTTTCAAGTATTAATTTTTACAAAAATAAACTTTATTTTACAGAGATAAATTTTATTTCACAAAACTAAACTTTGTATTCCATAAATAAATTTTGAAGTATTTTTTTTCAATATATTTAACTCAATAAAAAAATGCTAAAAATAAACATAAAAAATATATATAAATTATTCTTTTTTATTATGTCATTTAATGATTTTTATTTTTATTTTTCCAAGTTGCTGTATCTTTCGTTGCGTTGAAAACCGCATTATAGCTTCTTCGATTACAAAAAGTCTTTAAAATCAATCCTCGAATTTCTTACACCTGTCACTTATGCGACATATAGTAAATCAGAGACATTAATGTGATCTTTTTAATTAATTTTTAAACAAAAGAAAAATTGGAAATCTGTATTTCGTCTTTTGTTTGCGTTTCGTGTTAGCTTTATTTTTTCTAATCCTTTGAATAATAAAATATCAGTCCATTCTTGATTTAATGCGACGCGTATTTTCTCTATCCCACCTTTCACATCTGGTATCCTTTACTTACAGGAACATCACGAGCCGGAGCAGATTCCGTTAACCACGGAGATCGCGCAACCGGCAGAAGAGCCGATTGCAGCCAGCACGGAAGTGTCAGTGACGAGGCCGAAGGTACATAATACCAAGAGGACACAGAAGACACCTGTGATCGTGAACGATGATGATGACGGCGAGGACGAGGTGGACGAGGAAGACGACGAACCGGTCGTGCCGTTCGTGCCTTTCAAAGGCAACCGGCGTCGCCAGGGATATCCTAATCTGAACAATTTCTTCCCCATGGTCTTCAGCTTCCCGAGAGTGGCTACTCGCGCTGGATCTGCTGGCTCTCCTCCTGGAACCATCACAGCTATTGCGAATAGTTACTCTACGGGGAAAGGTGGAGTCGCCAGCTCGGTGGCGACTGCGTATGGTGGATCTCCCACTGGGTAAGTCGAATCTTTTTGTTAAGAAGGAAATCATTCGCGATCACTTTAGTCAGCGATTCCCACATTATTCGGTCTCATTACTCAGTTTTGAGACTTGCTCTTAGTTTCTCAGCTTTGCACGGCCAGAGCGATTGAGATGAGCTGTAAGACAAAATTTCTTAAGTCGAGTATTGTGGAAAGATTATTTTATCATTATTAATTTGTAAGATTATACTTAATTAATTTGTAAGATTATAATTACTGAATTACAAAGTATTAAGTTGCTTATATTGATTAACATTACTCGTGCAATTATTTAATTGTCACCGAGCTTTATATATGATACGTTGCATTAAGTCGAACGTTTCAAGCTCAGGACGTATAGAAACCGGTAAATATATTGAGCAAAATCGATCTAATTAGTTTAATTAACTCATTATTAATTGTACGCAGTCTATTCGTAGTACGAAATAAATACAAACGTATACGGAGAAAATATTGTAGTAAAATGTGTAACAAATTTTTTCGTAATCTCTCCGACTATACAGAATCATGACCGAAATTGTTATATATTTGTTGAAAATATTATGTTTATATTACGCTTATTTGGCTTTTTACTACAAAATTATTGCAATTATTTAAATGTCTTTTTTATATCCTGTGCCAAGTAGAGATTGTCAAATTTACTATTTCTATAGTAATTTATACTGTAATTTCAGTAGTTCAGCTCTACAAAAATCATTATAAAGAAATATGAACTTTAACGTAATTTTCACTACAATATCTTTCTCGCGTGTAATAAATTAATTGAAGCTAATACGTTTTGTCGTACGCACTTCGGTTAGAAAGAAACGACGCTCGCAGCCGTCCGAGGAATAGCTCCTAATAGAGCAATCAATTTCATGGGCAAGTTGAAACACCAAGTCGTCACCGTCTGAACACCTGAAAGGTAAACACATCGTAGCTGCGATCTCCGCCAAATTTCTTGCGCGTCTGCCGATCTCTTGTTCTCTTTCATTAGTGAATCTTGAATACTTAACAAAGGATAACGCGCGGACAATGGTTTCGAAAAGAAAACATTTCGGCAAAGAAACGAAGTTAATTTAAAGATAAGAATTAATCTCGTTGGGGATCGCGCGATCCGTCGTGCAAAATGCTTCGTTAAAATAAGCAGAAGTTTGTAATTTCTTACACGGAGCGAATATTATAGTCTTTTTTATATGTATAAATTCTTTTCAATTTATATGTTTCTGGTAAGTATAAAAGTAGACTGCTATAAAGTCTATCTCGCTAAGAATATTTCACATTTCGATTCCTAAGATATAAATAGCACAAATATAAATAAATGAATAGTCAATTACTGCAGAAAATTGATCCATTCTTCGGTTAGAAAATTCTACAATAATTTATACTATAAAATTCTCTCTGTGTAATTCCTGGATCACGACAAGCTTTAAATTATCTTTATTATAACTTCGCGCTGAATTTTCTGACAGATCGTATCGATTCCGCATTCTTGTCTTCGCTATTTTCAAACAATTATTTTTCTCTTCATCCATTATGTTTACTTCATGTAAATTTAAATAACACAAACTTTTCACTTGGAAAAGATCGTACATTTTTAGTAGCCTCTAGTGGGACATAATACTACTGTAATTTATAGCAGCACGCAAGGAGACAATATTAGTATTTCACAATCGTACATAAAGAGAATATCGTAGTAAAAATTAATTATTGTAGTAAAGTTATATTTCTTTTTACAATTTTTTGTTGTAAAGCTAGAGACTTGTAGTATAAATTACTATAGAAATAATAAATTTGGCAATCTACTTGATATATGAAAACTTGATATATTAAATTACAATAATTTTTTAGTGAAAAGTCAAACGTGCATAACTTGCAGTTTGAGACAAATATACAGTAATTTCGGTCATAATTCTGTACGACCCGAGATTACAGAAATTTTGTTATAATTTTTACTACAACATTTTCTCCGTGTAGCGTGTATCTTTGTAGACTAGGATTTTACTATTAAATATTAGCGCAATAATTAGTTGCGTTTGAGATTTAATATCTCCTCGAAGAGCGAATAGATCAAGGAAATCGAGTAGATCGAGAGAGAAAGACATTCCTAATTCTATGGTGAAGTTATATTTTTCATATTTGGCAACTTTTTAAAGTACAATCAGTATACTCTCCATTGAAATGCTATATTTATAACTGGTGGTTCAATATAGCATTGTATATCATTGTATAGCAGTAAATCCGATCTGATTGAATCAGTTAATAGTAGTGACTATTCCTATTTTTTATGCATTCTGCGAACACAGATAATGTTATTGCACGTAAAGTGCATGGAGGCCGTTAATCCCATCGTCACAAACGCAAAAACTTAAATTAGGCATAACAAATTTGTTTTTATAGTGAAATGTTCTACTGGCTAAAGTCAATGAGAAATGAAATGAATCATTAAACTGGGAGAGAATGTCTTCACTGAGAGGATCGATGTACATCTATTGATCATCAGTGAATTAGTCCTTTTACTGATTCAATCAGAAACATTTTTACTGGTTTATTTTAAGAGAGTAACGCTATAATCGATTTCAAAGCGAAATCTACAACTTTGAAGCAGTCTTTGAAGCAGAGATCAGTATTCTCTCGCGCGTTCGACAGTCCATGTCGGTTCACGGTAAGCACGTAAGTTAATTTTAACGCAATAAAGAGTATCAAAAACGAGGCTCGCTTCTTACTCATCCCGTACTGTGTCCCTCTGCGCTAATCCACAAAGATAACAAGCTACTATGGTTGATGTAACGTACACTAGAATAATTTTGTGTGTTCACGCGGCTTGCGAGCGCAGCGGAGAAGTATCCGCGATTATGAATTTAGAAGGAAAAAGAAGAAGCGACATTTGCCAAACAGGAAGATTGCAGTCTGCCTTTTGCGAGAGCAGAAAAAACGCGCTTTGCAATCGTCTGCGTGCGCGTAAGAAAAACTTCGCTCCGAGAGAAGTTGGCAAAAATCATAGACGTAATATACATGGATGTCGCATACGGTCAGAAAAGTAAAGTCAACATGTAAAAAGAGACTATAGACATAATATACGAGTACATAGACTTCGCATACAGTCAAAAAAGAGAAGCCAATATGTACAGCCCCTCTACTCTCTGTCTCTTTCTACATAGACAAAATGTGCAATAAGATTTAAGTAAGACTTTTACTTGCCAGTTTAGTCGGAATGTTGTTGCGCTCTATGATATTATGGAAACGAGAAATGGATGCACGCGCAACAAAAAAGTGACAAAATAGGAAGAAAACTATAGTCCCTCTATTCTCGCTCTCTTTCTAGATATTGGCTTCACTCTATTAGACGACAGAACATAGGACATTCGGAGTCCATATATACTGTGTCTATGGCAAAAATTTACGAAATTATCGAGTCACTTTATCTTTAATTCGCATGTCTTGTGTAAAATTCTGCCGCGCACTTGTCCCGAGGAAAACATATGCGAGCGTCACGCATAATGCCCGATTCTTTTTCCGTTGGTAATCCCAAATTTAAGTAGCTGACGTAATTTTCGAGACTGTTGGGTTTCCGGGCAGCGCAAAGCGCGTGTGAACGTACGTCCTATCTTCTCAATCTGAACGGGCCCATCGGACCAAGGTCCGACTTACACGGTAATTCTGTGACGTGATCAAATGTACGCAACGCTAATGAGAAGTTGCGTGAGTAAAAACTCAAGTCGGAATTTAGGCTACTTGTTATTTGATAAGTAAACATAGATCCATATACATTAATTTCTTGTTATTTGTTTTTCGATATAATCTAACCAAATCTAATGGGAAAATAAGATAAGAGGACGTTTTCTTTCCTCGCAATCTATTATTTATTGGCGCTAAAAATTTTGAAGATATTTGGAAATTCAAAAAGGAAATAGTTGTAGAGACAACGATAATAAATTTTCTATCTCATTATCTCTATGTTATTTACTGGCGCTGGAAATTTCGATTTAGAGAAGGAAATAGTTGTGAAATAACAGTTGTGTTTTGAGTGATCTTATGTAGTATATCATTTAAAATACAATTGTTATCAATTATAAATTTATCTTGAAAGTACAGTGATTTAAACATAGATTCAGCAGAATAACAAAAAAGCAGAAATGAGTGTTCGTTTTGTTTGCATTATTTTGATATTCTCATGCATTGCGTACTCTCTCCGTAACTGAATTATTGCGTCTCGAGCCGATGATGCACATTTTGCGACACGTATTACCATATTGATTGACATTCCTTTGTTGATTTTTCAGAATACCTATCAAAATTGACTCCTGAAATTTTTTAATCAGGCTCTCGTCTATCGCGCTGATTATATGCGCTTCTCCAGTCTACGCGAGTGTCAGGGCAGTGAGTGAGTGAGTGAGTGTGTGTGTATATATCTAAAGTATCACGACAAAACAACCAGAAGCAGGATGCACCTGAATCCAAAAGCTAAGACAAAGGACGCAAGACGATACTAGGGATATGAACGATACATATTTTTCCAAGGATTTGTTTATTATACATGATATCACCGATTTTAACGGATGTTTGAGGTTCTTATTCTTAACAAGAATAAGGAGATACTTGAGTCAGAATTCAGAATTCGTTTCAAAGCTGCCACTTATTATCCATTGTAGTTTGGCAAATAATCACAATTCCACACACGAATTTCTAATTATTTGCCTACCGGCATTTCGTGCAAAAAGAAATATCAACCCAAACTATCGAATAACGGTCCGTGAACACGAATTTGTAATTAATTACGCTTTCAATCAAAGATCTTAAATAATTTACGTTTATAAATATTGGCCTAAGTCTGGCAAATGTTAATTTATATCTTTGATAATACTGCTGATCCAATCCACAGGAAGTCTCATTTTGAACGTCATCTTTTCATTTTTGTTTAACCTTGTTATTTAGCTGAAGCCACAAATTTAAATCTCTATTGCCATTTATACAAATCTATCTTTATTCTTATATTTCCTTCCTTTTCAGCATTTTTAATCTTCCTCAATACTCATCACGAATAAATATCTTTATTTTTCAGATATTTCTTCTCTAACTAAAAATAATATTTTTTTGTTTTTTATTGGTGTCTGCGTAAATGAGTTGCTATTCAAGGAGCGATCCATGGCCCAATTAGAATATTAAGTCCCAAAGAATCCCAGAGAACAGAAGGACAGAGATCCAAACAACTCGATGGGCCGTGAATCGCGGAATTACGTTGTCGACGATAATGGCGGTTGGCAGTGCCCAGGTGGGAATCCCGACGCGCCTTCGTTCATCGACCTAACACTGTGAAGCCTCGAGAGAAATCAAGGTCTCAGCTCGACCGTTAATGAATCTACTGGGCGAGGAGTGCTTTACGATTCTTAAAGCATGACCGATGCTCTGTGAGTTCGATTCCGGTTAAAGTTGGATAACGAGCATTGATCAGAGCGGCGCTTATGCGTGCACGATGAGATGATTTGTGACAAATGGCGTTTTAAGTAGTCGATTACGCAACGAGAGGTGAGAGGATTGCTGGTGGAGAACGCTGGAAAATGCCCGCGCAAATAAATTAGGAAATTATCATCGTCTTTGGAGTACGTCATTGTTTGATTTATGAACGATCCGCAAATTGCCTTTCAATTTTACGATAGATGTGGAATTTTCTTTTCGCGGTTGCCATTGTCAATTAAGCGTCGCTGAGTTACCTCGTAAGAGCCATGCGAAGATATTAGCACGTAACGCGAAAACACCACGTGACTTTATGCAAGATGCGTAAAATAAAGATATATCTTTACGATCCGTAACGTTATATCCTTCGTTGTGTCTTGTTTGGAATATAATCTATCCAAAAATGCCCACACAAACAAAAACGCGTAGGGCATTAATTACGCGCGAATAAATACTCCGTGATTTATAGGGGAAGAGGTCCTTATTCTCGCGAACAAGACGAGAACAGATAAAACCGGGAGAACGAATAAAAAATCCGAAGGTATACGCGCGCACGACCTCACCAATCGTTGAACTCTCTCGCTCGACCCGCGATTTCTCACTCGCTTTAGAAAAAGATTAGATAGACCTTCGCTTGTTTATCCTTTCCAGCTTTTTTATTTTCGATTTTTTGTTATCGGAACTCAGCCATTTGAAAGAAAACCATCCGCGATCAACCTGACCAGCGGTTCCCAAATTATTCGGTCTCATTGCTCAGTTTTGAGACTTGCTGTTTTAAAAAATATTACTTGGATATTTTCCTCTCGCTTTTTCACAAGCTTTAGCGAGTTAATTTTTAAACTCGCTTGTTTACCACGAGAAATCTTTAACTTTCCGTGTATAATTATATTTTTTGAGACATATAATACAATCTGGGTTTATCAGACCCAGAAAACTCTGAACTATTGTAATTTTGTTGAAAATAAATATTTTTTGACACATTTTTTTCCAGAAACGCATTAAGAGAAAATACTTGCAAATTTATTTATGGTATATAAAGTTTATTTCTATGTAAAACAAAATTTATTTCTATGAAAAAACTTTTATTTTACAAATAAATTTTCAAATGTATCTTTTTCTCAGTATATAAATGCTTCAGTTATAAGACAGCAGTGCAATAAAATCAAAACTGCAAACAGATATATGCTATCTTGAAATTCTCCAGGATTCTTTACGAAAGTTGGTAAGTGATCGAACATTCATTAGAATCTCATAGTCCTAACATTGTATGCGGAGGATAAAAGTGGCCACAGTGATTCAATATATGCTCAGAAAAGAAATATTTGGAAATTTATTTGTAGAATAAAAGTTGATTTCACAGAAATAAACTTTATACTCTACAAATAAATTTTCAAGTTAGAGTTACTAAAACAAATATACCATGTAATGTTTGAACAACTAGAGTACTGGTTTCAATGATATTGCTATTGAATGAAGAAGATTTATTCCGAACACGCGACGCGCTGTTGACCAAACCTTTAGGTTCAACAGCATATTTTCCTCGTGTCTTAGAAACCAGACTGAGAAATCTCTTTAATCGACGCAACGACGAATACTACTGAGAAAAATATACTCGAAAATTTATTTGTGTAACATAATGTTCGTTTACAGAAACAGATTTAATATCCCACAAATAAATGTCCAAGTATTTTCTCAGTGTAAATCATTTCTGATTAAACATTTGGACACAATTGTGGCGGATTAATTTTCAAGATCAATACGTATAATAACATCTTGTCAATTTGACTCACCCTCGCGGTCTTCACAATCCACCTCCTTCGACTCGCGTGGGAACCAATGATCGGTGCGATCTATCCCGCAATCATTTAAGACTGCTTGATTATCCGCTCGAGCTTGTGTCACAAAGTGACATATTCGTCCGTGCGAGTGGACCAGCCAGCAAGAGCAGGAAATCGCTCCAGGGACACGTCGGCGCATCATCGCCCAACATCAACTAAGAGAGACCCGTTCTCCGTCTCGTCCGTCGGCGCTAATGATATGCGGCGATTCGTCGCGGTCGAAAGTGGCCGTTTCGCGGCCGCGTAAACGCGCCGGTTTATCCCGGATGGCTCGCCGTATATAAGGACTGCCTGGCCGATTTTCTCGTCGTCATTTGGCATTGGAAGATACCTGCAGGATAGCGTAACGTCTCGTAGCGCGCGCACTAAGTGTCCGATCAACAACGGCAGGATGTCAAGAATCATGGTCTTCTTGTTCGTCGCGCTCGTCGCAGTGGTCGCGGTCGCGTTTCCGACCGACGACGCGTCGCGTTCTCCAGGTAAAGCGCGGAAGTGCGATCGTTAATTCGCTGCGAAATTCATTCGCGGGGATCCTGGATTCTTAACGCGCGCTGTTATCTGACCGACAGGTTGGGTGAGCCGCCTTGAAATCGGAGAAATTTCGATAGGCTTCGTTAAAGAGCGGATGAATTGTAACGCACACTGTGTGAAACGCGACGTAAAAGCTGAGTGAGAATTTATTTATACGGCAAGATACGACGTGTGTGATGTAGATAAAAAAAGAAAGAAAAAATTCGACATACTGACTTGATTTCGTTTCATTTGTTTCGTTGATTTCGTTTCGAGCGACGCGAGTGTCGTAATATTCTGTGCGTTCATCAATTACAAATTAACTAATCCAAGATAGGAAAGGTTCTGAGATGAAGTCAATTAATATAAACAGAGTCTTTAAGAGACAAGCATAGCTAATATATAGTTTTGGACATTTACATTTTTGGATATTTATATCTTTGGATATTTACGTTTGCAGTATTTTAATACTTTTTAGACACTTTTTAGTCAATATTTTAGTACTCTTTTTAGACATTTATAATAATAAATCTCCCTTTGATAAATAGATAAATATTTATTACATTAGCTACATACACACACATTGCCAAAAATGGGGCTTGATTCATAAAACTTTATCTTAACCATACTTATCCGTTCACACCTTATCTTGAAACTTTTTCTATCTATATTCTTACCCTAATATCACAGCAATTACAGTCTGTACATTTCAAAATTTAAATATCCACTCTTTTAATTATTACTTTTAGCTGTTAAATCTCGCTTTGATTTGATTATACGATATTTATCTGAATTTAGTTTATAACTAACACTACACAACTGTGTTTGGCTCTCAAGGATCTTATTTAAATGAATCAACAAGTTAACCAATTTACCCGCTCTTTCCGACGCTAAGAATCCTCGCGATCAGAATTTCCGAACTTAACGCGGACGTATCGATAAGTAATTTTTCACAATTCAGCGGGCGAGAAGGACTCCTCAAAGGACTTTCCTCTTTTTTATTGAGTTTTCGGACTTTCTTCTTTTTTATTCAGTACTTACGAGAATAGTTAGAGCAGCTGCGCCTAAGGCCGAGCCTAAAGCTATGGCCGCGGCCACGCACTTTAAACGCGGCTCTGGACATGGATTCGGCGGCGGACACGGATTTGGCGGCGGGCACGGATTCGGCGGCGGACACGGATTCGGCGGCGGACACGGCTTCGGCGGCGGACACGGCTTCGGACACGGACACGGCCACGGTGGTTATCACGGAGGCCACGGAGGTCACGGGCATGGGGGATTCGGCCGCGGAGGTCACGGAGTATATCCTCATGGTGGCGGTTTCGCCAACAGCGGATCCAATGCCGGCTCCATAAGCACGCCTTTGGGCAGCGCCTCCTTCGCGAATTCCTTCGCTAACTCCGGGTAAATATCGCGAAAAGCGATCGTAAGCGGATTCTTAACGAAAGAAGACTCAATTAAACGAGATTTCTAATTAATTAATTGAATATCGTTATTTGGTCATGCGAAAGTTTTTAACGACATTTAATTCAGTAAATTTATACTTTCGAAATATGCTAAGCACAATATTATTCCTCCTCATTAGAAGAGAAATACTCTTCCGGTAAAAGTTTCCGCCTAAAAAAAGCATCTAGCAACTAGAATTTCTTTTCTTTAAGTGTTAAAATATTTTTCTTCTGATTTTAAAAGTACTTCCTTTTATTAAGATCTCTTATGAGATTATATTTTTTGGATATTATTTATTGTAGGGATTATATTTTTTGGAGTATTGAAGGAAGATTAAATATATTTTTGGGATAATTAGTCGGTATCCTAATTTAGCTGTCTTTAATGAGATTATAATAAGTTTTTTTCTCGTTTGTTGCAGCGGATACGGACGATGAGTTTAAAAGTGGTACGATCACAGTCACTGAAAACGGACTTGCGTTATGAAAAAAACGACTTATACATTTATTTTGTAAGCGCTTGTTTTTATATAATAAATGTCAAAAAACACAAAATCTACTTGCTTGACTTCTCGCGATATTTTGATGTCATCACCAATGTTTCTTTAAACTTGTAAACGACGATTGCCAATATATTTTTGTGTATTCGTCGACTTCTCATCCCAAGTCGTCATTAGCCATTGATACGTTTCCATATCCGATTCTGTGGCTTCCTACAGATTGATGAATAATTTAGATCATCTCTCGCAAAGTTTATTATTTGATCCATTACGTTCTGCTCTCCAATACTAAGCGAAGAAGAGAATGGTCAGTGATTGTCACACGGAAATCTGCAAACCATTATTCTTTGACAATTCATCAGCGATTCTTCTATTCTCATTCTCTCATTTAAACGTCTATTAGCGATTGAAGTCTCGCGATTCACGCATATTATGATTGATACGTAGAAAACATGGAGAACCTGTTTAAAATTGAGTTAAAATTGAAATTGAGTTTTTGTTAAAGTGTAGGTTTGCGAAATAAAGTTTTGATAAAACGAATATTTATATTTCAATAAATATATGTGTTTACAAAAATTTTCTTATTGCGTTTGCGTCATTCTCAATCCACAGAAACTATATTTAGATGCAGAATTATGCAAAATATCAAATGATAACGAAATAATCGCGAATACTGGCTGACTTTGCACTCAGGTTGCACGGCGATATCCTTGTTTGTTCTCCACCGGATGTTACCGTCCAATGTTTTGGAAAACGCCGTGTAAGCGGTCGCCTTTGTTCGCGTATAAACGGTGCTTATAAAACCGCATGATCTATCAAACGGTCTCATTAGAATCCCACTTAACGAGGCGAGTTCGACGAGCGAGTGGAAAACGGAAAATGAGATTTCTCGCAATTGTGATCGCCGCGGTCGTGATCGGAGTAAGTTTCTTGGTAAGTTTCTTAACTACGAGCTTCGCCTCTTCTTTCATTCAATTGAAAAATCTAGTGGAGATTCGGCTAAACGTGCGCAATTATTCTTGCAAAATTTTCACTTTCAGACGCAGTGTTGCTCGGTCGCGCTCCCGAACGTGAGAGACGCAGGTAGGTTTTGCGTGTGTGATGCTTGTGTTATGTGAACCTTTTACACTCGAGGAAGTTGTCTCTCCTGTAAATTTTCTGCTAACAATCTCAATATTCATCATAGAATCTTCATGAAAAAGTCGTGTACTTCGCTTTTATTATTGCAATATTTTTAACTAATGCGATTTTTGATAGAATTATACTAAATATATGTATCATCAAAAGTTGGTCTCTATACACTAAGAGAAAATATATATAAAAATAAAAATTATTTATTTCTGTGAGTACTAATAACGTATTTAATTAAATTGATATTTTTTTATTAAAATGGAACAAACAATTGCTTTATTATAATTGCTGAAAAGCTATAATTTAAGAAAACGTATATTTTTTATTTGATGATTTGATTTGATATTTCTTCCTCACATATATATTCTTGACATTTTTCCACTAAAAATGTTATTTTTTTTTCAATTTAGAAGTGTATGTTAATGGTATGTTAATGGTAGAGTAAATACGTTGTCAGTACCCACTAAATAATAATTTTTTATTTCTCAGATAATTTTTCTCTCAATGTAGGATCGATCTAAATGAAACTATGTCAAGGTGAACTCGATATAGGCCTGTAAATTATTTTGTTACGTTACATTATCATACATATTAAAATTCTGGTTTTTTCACTTTGAAAGTCATCTTGAAAACCCCTTCTGGGTTTCGTAAGAAACCCTCAACTACAGCATCTGTCGAATGCAAAGAGTTGAAGCTCATTTGGTGGTCATGCTCGCGATTTCTATCAACCGAAATTATTTGATTAGAAAATAAGAGCGCAGCTTGCGTAGGCATGCTTCGAAGTGCGCGCGTACACCGGGATGCGAGCCAAGACGTGTCTTCGCCGACCTGGATACAGTCCTCGGTTTCCGTTAACTCCTTGAATTCATCATCGGATGAGAAGACTCCCTCGAATATATCCCAGCAACTGAAAGACCTGATTGTGTCGTACGAGGAAAATATCGTGAAGTTCGTGGAGCACGCTAGAAGAATATGTAAAAATACAAATGATTACCAGCGACAGGTCAATATCCTTACGTGACCTGTCTTAACGACAAGTCACGAATTCTTTAAGCGACCTAAATTAAATATGCGATATTAATTAACATTTCTTAAAATAAAGAATATATATTTAAACCAAATAGTTACACGGAGAGGGAATTTTATGATAAAAAAAAAATATATAGAAGTTTGTAAACGAGGAGTAGATTAATATTCTGTCGTAATTGATTATCCTTTATATTTGTTACTTATATATTTTAGGAATTGTGTGAAATGTATGCTGTTAAAAATTTGCTATGTTTCCAGCAGAATTTATTGTTTCTTAATAAGATGAATTTATTGCGTCTATATTTCTGGATTACTAAAAATACAATCAAATTAAAAAAAATTTATATGAAAAGTAACTATAATATTCTCTCTCCGTGTATATGATCGTGATTTATTTTAGATAAATTTTCAGACTCAGCTGAAGTCGCTCATCGCACGTGTTGTTAAAGAACAATCAAAAGTGAGAAACGCGTATGCTAAGCTCGGCAACATCGCAGCCTCGACTTTGCAGGTACCGAGTAAAACACTGACGATTGAGAAAGTTAATAACCTGAAGGATCTTCTTGATACTGTGAACGAGCTCGATATCGTTTATCAGGATGAAGAGGTCAATGATGAGCATGTCCGGATCAGTAAGCGTTCGCGAGTCCTTTGTGTGCATTTTTGAACGTGACGTCGCATTATTAATAATAAAATAAGTCCGTAACATTGCAGAAATTTTTCGAAATATTTATTCGATGAGTTGAGACGGATTAATAATGCATCAGAAGGTTAATTAAATTTGCATTTGACTAATCTAAAATTGATTCTAGAACGCGCGAATGAAGGATACAAAACAGCCGCGTCCTTTGTGATGTCAGGCCGAGAGGAGCAGATTATTCAAATGCTGTTTAATATTCAACGTCAATTGACGCAAATTCGAAAATATTTGCACAAGTTATGCCGGTAAGATCTCGTCACGAAAAAAAATCAGAAGGCAAAAGTAAAACGCGACGCCACACTTACTTTCTAATTAACGATTACTTTAATTAATCGTTTCAACAGGCATCACTCAATATGGTCGACTACTACAGAAATAAATCCCGTTAAGGATGTTTCCTCTCCTGATCAGCCGAAAAAAGTACCGGTTATTCAAAACTAATAATAACGCACGACGCGCGCTCATTTACTTGTGCAATCAACGCACACCGAAGAGTAAAATTTAATACATGTAGAAAAATTCTGATTTAACACTTCAATAAAAAGAATTTAATTTTACGATGCATTCTTATTCTGCGGGATATGTTCAAATTGCGAATTATAATATTCTTAATTGTGATGCGCCAATAACAAGTTAAAAAGAAAAAAAAGAAGAAAGGAGTGAATAAAAGGAAGTACTTCTTTAAAAAATTCTCTCCATATATAGTGTTATATCTTAAAACTTTCTACAGTAAAAAAAAAAATATCTGAGAAATTAAATATGTTTATTCAGTGAATACAAAAAAAAGATAACTTACAATCTAAATTCTTTTGCTTAAAAAGAATAAATAATTGCTTTTATGAGAAACAATGATGTTTCACGAAAATACATATTTTTACATTCAAAAGAAAATTTTTCTCATTATAAAAATATATATTAGTACAAGTAAATATGTTATTAGTAACAATCGCATAAAGAAAGTCTCTTATATTTTATTTTATATTTTTTCTCTCAGTATACTTTCGAATTCGAGCGGAATTCGCGGGGTTAACATAGAATTAGAATTTCGATTCGTGATATGAACGTAATCAGCAAACAGCCACGGAATTTCCAACTCAAATGTCAGCCGACGTTTTCGCAGTTTCGAAATTTATTACGGCGATTCGCGTGTCCCGTAATCGCACGCACCTGTGCATACGTTTATTCTACTCGTGTGTCACTAGATATATCCATCAAGTTTAAATGTTTCTTGTCCTCGCCATCTGATACGTTTGATCGATAATACGGAGTCGCCGCTGACGACGCAGCCCTCGTCGCGAGACGGAAGCACTTCTTTGTCACTAATAAGGTACGTTTTTTTCCGATTTCATCGAATCTACCTATCACACCGAACGCATGTCGGACATGCGAGAGCCGGTCATTTCGTCTCGATTGTTCATCGTTCCAGATTTTAACACCCCCGATCGTATTTCCACGACGGAGAACGCGATGGCAAGCCGCGGTCATTTGCGAGATTTTCGCATTTTTGACTTCGGTAATTGCTTTTAGTGATCCTCTCGAATAACAAGCACGCGCGTTCATTCATTGCCACACAATACATAGATTCTCATTCGGGAGTCAATTTTGTAAACTCGGTTGTCTTCGGCATGAAAACCGTGTATCTTCGTGCGCAATTAATCCCTCGTATGGTTAAATTAAAAGAAATTTTCCGAGTAAATATCTTTTTTAAATTTCTTTTCTAATTTCCTTATACATAAGCAACGTTAAAAAAAAAAAACGACATATTTTATCTTATAATATTAAGTTAGTGTGAGAGATCTGTCACACACACATACACACACACACACACACATACACACACACACACACCAGTTTGGGTATTAAAAGAAAATTAGAAAGTCTCTCCATTAAGTGCTTGAAAAAATATCGAGCTGATCATTTTAAAAAATTAATAATTCTTCGAAATCGAATAAATCCATTTTCTATTTTATTTTACAATAAATAATCCATTTTCTATTTTATTTTACAAACGCGACAAATATTTTGTATCAATTTAATGTTTTTATAAAATAAATAGTGTATATGTCAAATAGTTCTTCAAAACTCATTTCTAGTCTTGTTGTATTTGTCGTTGTATTGTTATTGCATTTGACATGAGAAACATATAACGTGCCAGATATGTCATTTCAGGCCAAAGGATTAATAGGACGATAGTATCTCGATAAAGTGTCGCGAACGTTTTCTCGATAAAGCACAAAGAGACTCTTACAACTTGCACTTTCGAGAGCTGACGTTCCTTGATTATCGGAATCGAATGATTCATCCAGTATGAAATACGCCAAGTCTACAGTAGTCGGTGGTTACGGGATGGTACGTCTTCTGATCAACGTCCACGGGCGATTAGATCGAAAAGCGAGCTGCAAGCACGCTGCGTCAATCGCGAGCTGAAACTTGGGAAAGTTAAATTGAGAATCCGTAGCTCCCATTACGGGAAGCGTCGGTCATTATCGCGGCGCGATCTAGCTCCCATGCACTGTGCTAATTACGCTCCTTTAATTCTGGGTCAGCTCGAAACCTCGCGGAATTTCTATCCAACTCCCCGTTGAATCGCGTGCGTAATTAACATTCCAAGTTAAGATTAATTGCAAATTAAACGAGGATTCTCCGTTGTCACGAGAAAATAATAAAATTTTTAAACCAGCAAAAGGATACAGTGAAAATAACGAAACAGACCGAATTACGCGTAGCTCAGGTAGGATCATTTGTCTTTCTTTCAAAATTGACTGCAATATATACTCGTATACTGTGCGCTACGAGTTGTCCTTTCGTGTTTGCACAGAAACAGTTCCTCGATGCATGCCCTTTGAAAATTATTCGTAGATGAGGTATGCATTATTCAAAATAATGAAGGAAATTCTAAATAACGCGTTTAACACTAGAATGCCCGATGTAGTCTTCTCCATCCATTTTGACTTCTTTAAGGTTTTTTTGTTATCGCCATTTCTGTTTCTCATGGTTTAGGAAAAAAAATCTCTCGCGTGACTTTTAATCTATTATTTTTAACATAGAACACATTGAAAGAGTAACAGAGAAATTGATAATACTGTGATATTTTATGATTTATTTTGGATGTTCGCGAGAGTCAATTTCATACTTTACTTAATTGTCAGTGTTGCAAGAACAAGCATTATCACTTGAGATTTTACTTTTTTAATCCCGATTAAGTTTGTATTTTATTCTACACTCATCCAGCAGTCGTACAGCAGTCGTAATGCACAGTTCGTAAAAGTTGAGAAATTCACGGAGGTGAAGTTTGAAACTCTTCGAAGTTTTCTCGATTTTCCACGTTTCGCCTGGCATGGCGTGTTCGGTTGATACAAATCGTAAATAATGCCCATATCACCTTGCTGCACGGACGCAACTTATGGCGTGTGTTATTTTCATTATCTAATGAGAAAAGTTTTTACATTTTATCTCGCGAAACGGCCGTAAGACATGAACCTTCCACGGTGGGATCGGCCAAAGTCTTTGATCAGAGACGGTTTATCATTATTGCATATCTATTGTTTCATTATATTGCTCACAAATAAATGACAAAATGCATGAAAAATAAAAGGTCCTTCGTGAAAAAAATAAATTACACGTCACGAGCAATGAATGATTGACGCATATCAGGATAAAATCTATCTAATGGAATAACAGAAGAACTTCGCGAAATATTCATCTCCTAGTACGATAATTTTATTTCATCAGGGAAATTATACATATTCCACACAATCTGAACGATATTCCGCTTTGTATCGTAAAGCCCTGCCGGCTATCCTGCTATGCAAATCGCGCTCTCTCCCGATGTGCACGCGGCTCGAGTTACGCGCGCGTAAATGCACGATCTAAATTCATTGGGACATTATCCGTATCACGAAAATGCACACGAGATCCGCGATCCGGCGGAATCGACAAGCCGACGACGAGCAAGTCACAAGAGAATTACGCAAATATGGCTCGTAAATAATAATAGCAACTCAATCATGTACGAGAAAAAGAAGAGAGAAAGAGAGAGAGAGAGAGAGAGAGAGAGAGAGAGAGAGAGAGGGAAAAAAGGAGGGAAAAGAGAAAAAGGGAGAGGGAGAGAGAGAGAGATTCACTTTTTACGGACTATTGATTGGCAATCCGCAATTTTTGATTATCCTCAAGTCGTCGAGGGAGAGAAAAAAGAAAAGAAAAAAGCAGCCGCAGCTCTCTCCTTGAATTATTTCTTATCGATCAATCGACTCGAACTTGCTTATATCGGTCCGTGGTAACGGTTTCTATTACCATTTTTTTCCTAATCCTCTATTAGATAAATTTGCATCTCCATCGCGATTGTGGTGATCGCCTCTATTGAAGATATACGTGCGACATTTGAGCAACAAGAACGATCTCTCTGCAAGAGACTTAACATTATGAATAACTCATAACTCTCTCGAGCCGTACGGGTACTGCGATCATTACTGTCGATTTACAACTTCACTTTAAGCTTTAAGCCTTAAGCAACTGACCAACCACAGTCAATTATTCTCCTTACGTCTCAAGAATAATCGATTGTGATTGGTCAGTTGCTTACGACTTAAAGCTTAAAGTGAGGTTGTAGACCGACACTTATACGTATTATCAATTTTATTTATCATATATTCTTGAGTAAATATTATGAATTCACAATTTAACTAACATTTTATAAGAAGTTACATCCTTAAGGCCCGATTGCACTAATCGAGTGGCTTACAGTTAAATCATATGTCTTTCTTTCTTCTTCAAAATACTTTCAAAATACTTTCTCCTTCAAGATAAGGCAGACATTAGTTAACTACTACCACTAGTTAGTGCAATCAGGCCTAAGAAAATCCATATTTCACTCATCTAAAACAATTTTTTCTCTATATAAAAATATTATAAATAAAATATAAATTAGTACAAGTAAAAAATATTATCAAAGTGCTCACCGAAGAAATACCGTTCTACATTACACCTGTTTTTTCTCAATGTATATTTCACTGTTGCGGTGTGATGGATTTAAAGTGTTAATTTTGAGTAGATGCTACATAAAAATTCGACTAATCGGTGATATTAACTTCGACAAACCTTGCAATTTAACACGCCAGGACTCGCAAGGGTTTCAGTTTCAAAAGGAACGAAGGATGTCCGATCAACGGAGTGTCACACCGACGACGGTGTATCCAGAGGAGGATCGTCCAGGCGCCGGCGTGGGCGCCGGCGCTGAGCGTTCCGCCGGCGTGAACGTTCATGCCGGCTCAACGTTCATTAGGAGCGTCTCGATATTCCTCACTAAGGGTCGCAAGACATCGGTGAACACAACAAAGCGGCAGATCTCCGCCGCGTCCGGCGGCAAGAGACGTCGCAGGAGGATGCCGGAGGGCGCCAGGAACATCGTCAAAGTCATCGAGTCTTTGAAAAGGAAGACAAAGTTCTCCAGGCGAGTGTGTATAGGATCCCATAGATTATCGAAATTGCGCGCGACGGATATCCTCGTGTCGCTAACGCGCACTTTTCTTCTTCGCGCTTGTGGCATACTGTTAGTGCATTGAAAGAATGTCTGAAAAATAAATGATTTAGTGGATGCTAATAAAATATTTATTTAAATTTTAATTCTTTGTTTAAATAGATAAAACAATTTTGTTGAAACAAACAAATTTTGTTTAAACAATTGTTTTCGTGAAAAACAACGGTGTGTGTTTTTTCGGGAAATATATATCCTTTTATTTAAAAAAGACTTTTGCTTATTGTATAAATGTGTGCATTAGCACACATGTAAGTAAGTGTGTTAGTAACCATCGAATAAATATTTCTTATTTTTTAAACATTTTTTCTCTTATTGTTGATAAAAGATTGCGACACTTTTGCCTCGATATTTTACAACGCAAAATATATCTATATCTAACCTAATAATCATGAAAACTGCCAGAGTACCAATATTTCTATTAGTAGAAACATATGTTTCCCGAGAATTGTTGCAAGAATTTTTCTGTTGGATATGCGTTACAAAATTATAATAATAATAATAATTAACATTTTTTTCAATTGACAGGAAATTGCGTATCATGTTGAAAGTATTCATCATTTTCTGTTATCTTTAAAGATAGCTATTTAATTCCACGTTTGTAAAATGATTCGTCTCTTAAACGCATGAAATCATTGACAATATTAATATTGATTTCAAGTGCAAATATTGTCACTCCGTCTATTGCATGCAAATATTAAACTCTTTGCTAGACACATTCGTAGCAACTCGATGCACGTAGTAAACTGTCGCGTCACGTGAGTGCTCGATTTGCATTTAACAGGGTGGAGTTGGATAATCTCAGCAAACTCTACACGAAACTGACTACCAATTCTAACCAACAACAAGTTGACCGATCGGTATCATCCACCGGTAAAAGGCAATCGAGACTGGTCGAGGTAATCAAGAAACTCATAAGCGAACGGGATTATTATAAATGTTCAGACAAGATATAATAATCATTAATGCGCATCGTTTAATTATTGATACAAGTTCAAATGACAGAAAGATTTGCTAACCAATAAAAATTAATCTATTAATCTGCGTTAATCTGTTATAATGCGAATTTTATTTTAAAATTATTATATTAAAATTTTTTTCTTATTTGTGATTAAAGTTTAATGACACAGAGACTTTAATCTCATTTTAATATAGACAAAAATCAATAAATAAATAAGAAATAAATAAGAAATAATCAATTACATACAATTTTTCTTATATTTTATATTTGATGTAAAGAACCAAAGAATAACGAAAAATCATGTTTATTTTACATTTTAACATCTTAATTTGGCATGTTAGTGTCAAAAACGGCCTCATAGTAACTTTTACCGCGTCTATATTTGAAATTCACTTTTTTAAATATTGTTTTATTTCATGTTTGGCTTGCGGAAAGTTGTGGTTCAAAGTGGCTGGAAGTACAAGCTAACTTGGCCTCAGATAGATATTTGAAGTTTCACATACCTTTGCTTTTTTACTACAAAAAAATATAATTTTTTTTCATATAAATTCTTTTCAATTATACTATGTTTTTAGTAATCCAGAAATAGACTGTCAGTAAGGTCTATCTTGCTAAGAAACATGATAAATTTTGTTAGAAATATAATTTTTTTAATAGCTCATTTCAATTTCTAAAATAAGTAAGTAGCATATCTAAAATGAAAAACAGTGAATTATTGCAGACTGTCAATTTCTCGGTTTTATAATAAGTTTTACTATAAAATTCCCTTCTTACATGATAGACAAGAGATATCTTAACAGTATTTAAACTTTATATATTCCCATCAACTATAACTTTTTTAACGCGTGAACCGATCCTCATTCCACTAGTTTGCGGATAATTCAAAGCGAAAAATTGAACAAAGTCAAAAATGATTCTAATGTGCCACATTAGGATTAACAGGCACTCGTAAGAGAACACTTTGAACATAACCCGTTTCTCAGGGTATCGACAGGGCCATTTTTCGAGAACTCCTGCACAATACATTCCACGTAATCACGGAGGACATTTTGGTGGAACGCTTATTCTGTTGTTGGGACCGCGAGATCGAAGGAGCCATCAGACTTGAACCATGGATTATGGGTCTCGACGTGTTCTTACGAGGTAACCTCTGCGACAGAATCGTCTTCTGCTTTCACGTATACGATTTGAATAATGACGGATACATCACGAAGGATGAGATCTTCCAATTGCTTAAGTAAGGATAACGTGATCTTAATTCTTTACGCTTCTAATTTCTTGTAAAATACAAAGGAAAACGTACTTTTCGGCTTTTAAAATAGTTTTAGAATTAGCAGTCGTCAGATTTAGCTGTTTTTGGTTATTTTAGCCATTTTTAGATTTAACTCTTTTTATTATTTTCGCTACTTTTCATTTCCTTATAATGTAACGCGTAATTTACTTGTCAGTCATTATTAGCATGTTCACTATTTAAGCGAAAATCATTGGTAATTCGCGCAACCACAGAAACTGTCTGATAAAGCAACCCGGCGAGGAGGATCCGGACGAAGGAGTTAGAGACTTGTCGGAGCTGGCCCTAAAGAAGCTCGACATCGATCATGACGGCAAGATATCTTTCCGAGATTACGAGATGGCAGTGAAAGGAGAACCGTTACTGCTAGAAGCATTCGGCCAGTGTTTACCCACCGATGAGAATAGCGCGGCCTTCTTGGCAACTCTTCAACCTTGAAGATATCCGGCAAAGGTATGTGAAACTTCAAATATCTATCTCAGGCCAAGTTAGTTTGTACTTCCAGCCACTTTGAACCACAATTTTCCGCAAGCCAAACATGAAATAAAACAATATTAAAAAAAAAATGAATTTCAAATATAGACGCTGTAAAAGTATATCCCGGTTTATTATTGTATTTCTCCTTATGCTTGAATAGCTGCTGAGTGATTTCTTGCTGTATATTGAATATATTCAAATTTCGTTCGACATCTATCATTACTTTGGCATCTATCATTGCGTTCACAGCGGTGCTTATGTGATACTTGCAAGTTAAACATTCAGGATCGGCGACCTTCTTGATTTTACTATGTCTGGATAGAGTTGTAAAAAATCCCGTTGTTGCCAATTATCCATCAAATTCTTCGCGTGTTAATATGTATCTTCAATTAATCTGCTCTCTGGATAATGTACAGATTATTCAATGATACAAGCTGTTGAACTCGTGACCGTCTTTCTTCAGTGCCTCGGCAACGATTGGCTTGCTGATGTCGCTCTTCCCTTCGCAGCAGTGATTGAAACTTCAACATCAGACAGGGGCAAGGATAGAAAGAGAATATCGCCGTCATAATCTGGCCGGTGTTAGATTGTGAACGCACTTCACCAATTCGATTTTTACAGCATCAACTCTGTGAATGCACGAGCAAAAGTGAATTCAAGCATTGTGCAAAATATGTGATAAACACAATAAAAAAGTACACACACACACACACACACACACACACACACACATATATATATATATATATATATATATATATATATATATATATTTAACTATGCTGTGATTCATTTTTGCACGCACTTTAATTGTGTAAAAGCATTTATTATAATTCTGTCAAGCCAGCACGTCGTAAACTTTATTGAAAATGTGGATTTTTGGTAAAATTTCCAAATATTTAATTTATAGGCAAAGCACTGATTGTTTCTACTGAGTTGTATGATTCTTTTGCACGAATCAATTGCACGAGTCATTACATGTATAAAAGTGTTAATGTAAGTTTATCAGAAAGTGAAATTATAATAAAGTGCAGTAAAATTATATCTCTACGATGTTACGAAATTATTTCTCTCTACGATGTTTGTTGTAAAATTAGATTATTTGAAATTGCAGCGTAAATTATTATAACCGATTCGTTATTATTAATTGCTACGACAATCTTTCGATAGAAAGAACAATCAAGTAATTTCAACAATTCTGCAATGAAATGCCAAACGTGCATAACATTTTGGAACAAATGCACAGTAATTTCGTTTATAATTCTGTCTGGCTCAAGATCACATGAATTTTATTGTAATTTTTTCTACAGCAATATTTTTCCCTTTATACACCGCCGAATTTCTAATTACTAGAGATTAGTTCCAACAAGCGCCGCGTATCAGAACATTATTTTGCGTCAGAATTGCTTTCATTATCTTTATGATCGCGGCGTGAAAATCGATCGGCCGCGAATTGACGCACCGGAACGTATCCGCCTCTCCGATTCGATTAGCTTCATTGATCGTACTCGGCGTAATCGGCGCTCGTGCGTAAATTAAACGCATACCGACCGCAGGATCTTACGCGATCCTTCGCGCGGCACACTCCGTCGGCCAAAGTTCGCGATCGCGTTCGTGCTTCGCAGAAGAAAAACACGTTGCCGCCGTCGCATGCCGTCGTTTCAACGGCAACATGGGAGTCCGACTCGTTATTGCCTATCACCGGATGGTCCAACTTATCACGGTGGACGATTTACGGACTGTCACACGCGGATTAATAGACGATGTGATCTTGACACGCAAACTTTGGACCGTTAATTTCCTCTCGCGTCGCGATATCGTGCCGTACGGAAGCGAAAGCGAATGCAAAAGAAACCTCCCTGCCCCAGGAAGACTTCTCTATCGCGTATAAAAGTCCGTTTATGGTATATGCGCCCGTCGTTCTCGAGACACGCGGTGCCCTGCCACGTGCGATTCCGATTAACGTTATGACGTACTTGCCGATATTGTGCGCCACCCTCGCGCTGACCAGTGCTCAAGTAAGAATAGCAAAGCAAGTAGGAAGTAGGAAAGTCTCTAAATAAATACCACGATATCAGCCAAAGGCTAATTTACTTTGACATTAGTAATACTGTAGCATCTGATCTGAGAAGGACAGAGAGGATTTTAATTTTATATTAAAATTTATTCCCTAAATAAAAAGTTCTATAAAAATAAAAATTTCTCCATGAAATTTTATTATTTTATAAATAAAAAATAAATAAAATATATAAATATTTATTTTATAATATTATTTTGTATTAATATTTATTTTATAAAATAAATAAAATATATTAGGGTATTTAAATAAATTATCTAAATAAAATCTATTAATATTTATTTTACAAAATACTCTAAATTTTATAGACATTTTATAGTCCTCATAATTTATTAGAAATAAATTATTTCTAATAATATTTCTAATAATATTATTTCTAATAATTTCTATTATTACTCTATTATTGTTCTATTATTATTCTATTATTATTCTATTAATAATTTTTAATAATTTCTAATAATTTATTAGAAATAAATTATATTCAAATTATATATATGTACGTTTAAATTTTATTATTAAGCAATCAAGAGAGAAAGAGAGAAAGAGAATCCTTGAGAAGTAATATTAATATCAGACCCCGAAATGTCACCATCAGCTTCTACTGACAGCGTCTTATCGACCAGTCGCGTGTCTCTCATTAATCACAACGCGAATTGTATTTTATATATTATTGATACGTAGAGATTTTGTAATGTGTTCAAGTATGTGTCACTTGAATACAGTTTTCGATTCTCGTTCAAGCTCAATGAGCTTGAATTTCTGGTAGCATAGCATTAGCGAAATGCTTTACGTAGGCATATTATATACATTGGAAAAAGACCGAATCTTCCGCGATGCAACATTTTGGTGGGAATTGCAACTGACATTACGATATCGCATTGATTACAAATATCTATCAAAAATAGTGTCTATGAAGAAAAGCAAAAGATATCAAAACAAAAAGGCAATAATCGCGTCTAAAAAAGTAAATTAATATAAATTAATTACATAAACTAACATTACTTAATATTAATTAATTATACAAAATTAACATTAATTAATTATAAAATACGAATAAATGAACCCACTAAGAAGTTTTTCCTTCTTACCTTGCTCGCGTTATAGGGATCACATTACGGCGTCGCGTGGACTCTTCCTGCGTGACGTTTCTTCTTAAAGAAATATGCAACTCTACCTTCCAGGAGACGATAATCCAGAACAAGAACATAAACATCATCGTGAACGTGGACCCGGAGGAAGTGGCCAAGGAATTGTGGAAGGTGATCGAGGCTCGCCTCAACAACGGCACTGACCACCCTATCAGCTCGTGGAACGCCATCAGGGATCTGGAGAAGGTGGTGACCCCACTCGTGTCGCCCAGCAGAAGGAGCTCGACGCAGCCGTCCGCTTATCAAGTGGCGAACGAGCTCGATCGGATCACCCGGCGAGCGCTCACTCGCGACTCGCCTGGCATCAGCTTAATAGACGAAGAGATCATGACCAGAGACATCGTCGCGGACATGATGGTCTCGCTCAAGATGATCCAGTCGAGGTCCGAAGGGACGAATGCGCCTAGCAGAAGGATGTATGATCCTGTCGCGGCGACGAGCGACGACGAGCGGGACGATTACGTGAATATCAGGATCAAAATACGCCGGCGGGACATCCTCAATGCGTTTCATTAGCGTCGGATTTTTGTTAAATGAATAAATGAATTACTGATACTTCTCGACTGTTCGTTTCGCTTATAACCCGCGTACAGTTAGTTGGGCAAAATTCTATTAAACTTAATTCCAGAAGTGAAGAGAAGGCTGCAACACACCTTCACCTCGATGAGTTTCGCAACGCGTTCCGTATCTTACAGGAGAATTTGTTTAGTAGTTCTCAGGATATCCATTTTTCCCCCGTTTTAAAGACGCGTTGCGAAACTCACATCGAGGTAAAAGCGCTATATACGTTATATCTACATGAAAAGAATTTTACATCGACAATTGCTGTAGAATTTTCCTAATCGAGAAGTAGATCGACATTCCACATTAATTTATTATATTTTCCTTTTTTATACGCGTGCTGTTTATATCTTAAATTTGAAGAGGGTGCTGGAGATACCGATACAAAAGCATATTTTATTTGGCATTGTTAAAGGTTATAGAATAGATCTACTGAAACTTTCCATGCCTGTACTTCTATTGTTTCGAAGAAAAACTCGATGAGCGAAGTACAATTGGCACCAGACGCAATAATCATGTCATTCAAGACTGTTTTCTCGTGTCACGCGAATTTATATCCACCTCGACGAAAGCTCCGGGACTTAGGCGATTTTATAGTTTTGCGCGAGACGATTAATATCGTAAAGAAGAAATTGAACGTTGCGCGTTTACTCGCATACGATAACACTCGCTTGAGCGTCGTTCACTTTATCGGATATACAATATTTCATTACGCAGCGCGCAAATTCGCGAATGGTTTTAATTCTACCGTGACGAGCCGCTCCTATATAAAATACTCAGTTCCGAGAGATTGGTGAAGTCGGTGTTGGTGTTGAAAGTCGATGGTAGCCTTCACGATTAACGCGATCATATCCTCCACGATGGTGTCACGTCAACTACTTGGTTATCTCGTGAGTATATGACTTTCTTCTCTCTTCCTCCAAATTGTATTTTTATTCTTTTATTTTTAATTGTCTTAATTTTCAATTTTTTAATTATTTATTTTTCTCTTTTATTTTTTTATTAAGTCAAGCTTGATTAAGTATTTCCAATTTTCTATTCAAGAAAAAAGAATATTACCTCAAGAAGATTAAATCCTACAGAAAAAACTTTTAAGAAAAAGAAAGAGAGCGCGTCGCGATCAATCCAATTCGATGTGTCGACGGAATAATTTAAATTTTATATAACTGCATGCTTTCATGAGTTCTTGGGTGTGATGTTGCGGTACGGCAACGCGTATAAATCCAACGCGAATTACTTGGATGCAATCCTGATGACTTTGGAGCGCATCGAAACGGGAATGCTCAAACTAGTCGAGCAGAGTGCATCGGGATGCGCGCATTTTTCTCATACCGAGAAATTAGCCGAGCGTTCAAAGGTCCTAGACGATGACGAGGTACAAGAGCGTTTCTATTTTACCTATCAATTCCTGCCAGCGATATTATCCCGTACAGCCTTTTAAGAAATTGAGTAATCTCCAACTTATAGCGCCGTTTATCCTGCCGTTCATTCGCTTACTGTTAATTGATTGTTTATTCCGAAAATAACTTCAATAAGATAACTTAAATAACTTCAATTAAAATAAAAAAAAATAACTTCAATAAAACTTGAAAAAAATAACTTAAAAAAATAACTTCAATTGTGTCGCAAAAGGTTCACAGCGGGCGAGGCTGGAATCCACACGAGCACTCCACGAATTTTATAAACGTCCGGAGGTCCATCAGCAATTCCGACGAAAACGATGACTATCGATCGCTGTTGCGAAAGCCAAAACGAAATAGATCGTCCAATCGCAATCAGAACGTGAATTCTAACGCTAACATCAACACGAACACGAACATCAACGCCAACAGGTATCACGAGCGTGCTCTCGCTAATAACGAATTGCATACGGAATAACAAAAGAATTAGTTGAATTAACGCGACAATGACATATCTACATTGAAAAAAGATGTTTGAAAATTAATTTTCGGGATATAAAGTTTTATTTCTATGACACAATATTTATTTCTACGAAATAAAATTTATTTTTAATACAGTTTATGTTCCACAAATAAATTTTCAAGTGTTTTTCTCAATATAAATATGTTTTGCTTGAAGGAAATGGAATTTCTGGTTTTCCGAATTTACTTCATAATAGAAACTTAGAGAACTAGAGAAGCGACATTAAAGAAACTGTTTGATCGGTTAATTGAATCATGTGATTCAGCGCTATATTATTTTTTATCATGGTGACCGAGTGAAGGTTAATAATACAGTAGAATATACTCATAGCTGACGTTATAGAAGCATATTTGTTACAGTTTCATGTGGTAAGTTAAAGTTATGAACAAACAATATTAATTACGACGTGAGTACTTTTATATAAATTTCTGTCCTAATTTAATCTAACCTTGACTTGTGTCTGTCACATTTTTTTCAATATGGGCACTAGATCCTATTGATCAGGTTTGTCGAATATAGAAAAACAAGATGGAGGCTTTCCGATATCACATCTATCGATCTTCAATGCCTCTGTTACATTTATTCTAGAACTCTAGTTCACAAGAATAAGAAATTTTGCTCTTTTCAGCCAAAATGTGTCTAGTTATGTCATTGCCATGTTGATTCAGTCAATCTCTTTTTCTTCATGCATTCGTGCGAAATCCATAAATGACAATTTCGACGTAAACGTGACTCAAGAGAGAAATTTTCAGAGCGAAGATATTCGACCTCAGCGATGAAACCTCTGCGGTGTAAAGTAGGCGCGGATGAGGCTCCAGAGGATGTTACGAAATTTCTCTTATGAAGACCGTCGCATCTAATTGTAATCCGTGTAAAATCATATGTTTGCAATAATAAAATGAAGTAATCAATGGAAAATGTTACATCTTCTTGAACGTATCGTGGTTCGTCTGTTGCAAGTCGGTTTGCAATTCTCCTCGGGGAAATTCGCGAGGGAACGAATGCGATGACGGACGTTGCCTGCGTCGGTTGTAAATTTGCAGCCATTTAAAAAAGCCGAATTTATTCGAAAGCACGACTAATTTCACTTGCACTAATTTGGCGAATTCGTTAAATAGTATAACAGACAAATGGAGAGAAATTTATAATGAATCATAATATAGAATTCTGTAATCGAAAAACGTATCCACATTCTGGCTTAATTTATTATGGCTTAGTTAATTTATTGGCTTAGTTTTTCATTTTATATGTGCTATTTATATTTTAGGAACTGGCCTGCTATTGAAAAATTTATCACATTTTTAGAAAAATAAATTGACAATCTATTAACAGTTTCTTCCACCATTAGAAAACATAGTAAAATTGAAAAGAATTCTACATGAAATAAATTTTATGTGCCACAAATAAATTTTCAAGTATTTTTTGATCTCAATGTGTGACGGTATGCACAACAAAATTAATATTAATTTATTTTAACGCAAACGCATATTTCGTACATGCATTTCGCACATGTGTGTGTGCGGTAGGGAGGGGATTTAAAGTTCAAGAAATGATTGCATCACAGTCGGTGTACGTAATCATGGCACCTGCCGTTTATTAAAAACAAATTCGATAGTAATCGTATAATTACAAACAATAATGACAGTATAATTATAAAATATGCTCGGTCTAGCATTTTTTATAACGCGTTAGTAGAATCAGTCTTAACCCTCGGATTATCAAGATACCGTATTCCGCTCTCCAGAGCGTGTTCTGTAACCCTCTATCTCTCTTTCTTCCTCCCTCCCTCCCCCCTTTCCTCCCACCCAATCCACACCCCCGTGGTTCGATCTGTTCTCCGCGATCCGCCCCTACGTTTTCTAGTCAGAAAAATAAATTATCTGAAGGTACTTCGTGTATGCCTGCTTCGTGCCTGAGAAAAATTTAAACGACCGATAACCCGAGGGCTAATTAAACTATGAGACGTGCTAGAGGTATGTTACAGTGATGCAGAGGGGTTTCGTTTTCACAATAATCGACGAAATTGACTCTTTACATCCTCAAAGAACAAAACATCATCGGGCCGACGACGTTCCGGCGCTTTCGCTTACGAGGATTCTCTTTTCCGCTCTTTTCTTAAATCTTTCTCTTCTTCTTGTTCATTTCGTGTAACGCTGCGTCGCGTCGCTCGAGGTTCTCGCACTTAGATTTATATATGTACACGCACGCGCATCTCTGTACGTATGTATGTATGTATGTATGTATGTATGTATGTATATAATATATTTATATTTATATATATATTTATATATATATATATATATATTTATTTATTTATTTATATTCATTTATTTGTTTGTTTGTTTATCGATTTATTCGTAATATATCATTATTTATTCGTTAGGCGCACTCCACGGAAACGAGCTGGCCCTTCTGCGAGTGTTTCTCGAATAAAAAATAAATGATCCGTGTTCGTTTCGCCGGAGTGCTGAGATCTGCTGAGTGTGTCTGCTGAGCGACAGTTTCTCGTCCTTTGCGACGTAAAACTAGCGAGGGTTGGATAAAGCGCTGCCACAGGATTCTCCGCGGTGCGGCACCACGAGTTTCCGTCCTGTCGCGGGGACAAGGACACGCGAAAGGATCTCGCAGTGTTACTTTTGTCCGTCGTTACTTGTCGCGCTTTCTCTCGCTCGATTTCGCGACGCGTCGGCGCGTTTTGTAATAAGCGCATAGAGGCGCTTCTCCCTTCAACCCTCCGACGGACCGTCATCAGGTCGCCTAACTGGGATTTTGATTTTAGTCGAAAAATTGGAAGTTTAACAAATTTTTTTTTTTTTCAAAGAAATAAATAAAGATATCACTGTACAATTTTAACCATACTATCTATCACTTTTAAGGATAAAAGAATTATTTCTTATTAAAAGAAATTGTGTAATTTTGTTATTTGAATTCTTATGAGATTATTACACTGTATCATTGTCCATCAATTAGAAGCGTCCGGCGGCATTGCGCTCAGCATGGGAAACCTGAACAGAATTTTAATTTTTTTGAAAATAATTTTTTTATGCTTAAAACAATGATAAATAGTCTAGTCAAATCTCTGTATTAATATCTGTAGCCATTTCTTTGAAAAAATTCGTGAGAACCATTTTTGTCGGCTATCTAAATCAGAATCTCCCTTCAAGGAAAAATTAAATCAATATTATTCAAGAAAAACGACGAAAACGAGTTTACGCATTCCAAGTGACGCGTGGAAGTTATTTTTGACCGTCGAGTGATATCGGAAGGTTTACAGTATTTGTACGTTGTTCTATATACATCGACGCTTTTCCTCCCGCGAGCTACGGGGGGTAAAACACGGCAGTTCAAGGATTATTTGACAAACGCGATGGCTTCTGCCGAGACTGGCGCTTCAAGGTGCTCAAAGAGCTCGTAAATGACAACTCTCTCTTTCTCTCGTAGAGTTTCGCGCTATTGCGATCGTTTTCACAGGTACCGTGGATATTGCAAAGGATCACGACGAACAGTCCACCATCAGCGTCTGTTCGTCGCCTACTACTGTCTACTTTAGCGGAAATTTGCGAGAAGCGCAAACGCGATCTTACGTACTTTCGTGATAACATTCTACACAGATATACAAGTTCAGCGAGTCGCGAACGAAATTCGCAACGCGAGGAAGCGTCCTCGAGTTCTCTCTCTCTCTCTCTCTCTCTCTCTCTCTCTCTCTCTCTCTCTCTCTCTCT